CCACTGTGATCCTATAATTTGCAAATTGCTATATACAAGCCCAGTCTTTGCTGCAAATCAGTTGTAAGAATTGCTTCTCAAATCTTCATCGATATGCATTTGTGCTGTACTTGACTTATGAAGGCCGTAACCCAAATTTCAATGCAAAAATGGGTGCCGTAACCATCAATCCTACTGAGCATACAAGCGCCTGGAAAATGATCAAAATGTCAGTTTTAGTAAAGCATAGTTGTTCATGTTCTAGTGTTATGATTTTATTGAATAACAAGGTGATAACAATATTCAATAATAAAACATAAATATTTTATAAATTGTAAACAATACAGCTTATTCTTGAAGTTTCTTACAATACATGGAAAACTCATCTAGTTTCATGTATTAATATGCAAATTGATGCACATACCACTATAGATGCATAATACATCTTTCATGATTTTCACACAAATATTAATATTTCATATTTTTTTTTTTGCCTCAATTTGGACTATCAAAAAGAGAGAGGCACCATGCACCAAGTAAAAAGATGATCTGTATCATTCAACATATCCGTGCAAATTTAGGAAAGAACTTTTAAAATCCCATTAAAATGGAATTTCTATTCTGATTCCACTTTTCTTTTCTTTTGTTTTTTGGGTTTTGTTCTCCTGATTGATGAAAGTTTATTTAGTAAAGTAAGTTTTACGAAGCTCCTTCCAGCCTGATCTAAGCCAAGCTGAGCTAATTTTGACACAGCTGTACATTCCTCGGAGGTTACTGGAACACAAAACTCTGTTTTAATGGATTTGGTTTATCCAAGTTTCTTTTGTCAAAACTTCAAAAATAAAATGGAGAAAGATATTAAAAAAATGAGAGAAAATTAATTTTTTGATGTGTGTAATTTTAATTCTATTGTAATTCAATCTTTAAACTTTAATGTATGATGATTTAATTTTTATAATTTTGATTCAGTTATAATTCAATTTCTATACTTTAACTTGGTGCAACTCAATTTTTAGTTTTAAACATTTAAAATATTGATTCTTGTATTTTAAAAAAATTATAAATGTTAAATTTAGGGCTAGTATTTTAATTACTAAAATTTTTACATATAAAAACTGATATTTAAAATTATTAAATTATAAGGATTGAGTTGTAGCAAATTAAAATTAAAGAATTGAATTATAATTAAATTAAAACTTTAAGAATTAAAACATTAATTTTTTTTCTAAATAATATTTATAATACTTATTTAGCTTTAAAAATCTTCAAATCACACTCTAAGAATCTTATAACGAGGCCAAGCTTTTAAACTCCCTCTCCCCGGCGACGATCACGCCTTTTGCCCAGCGCGAGTTCACTCCTCTGGTGCGAGGAAAAGGAAACAGATGGAATGGGGAAAGTGTTGAATTGGTGGGTTTCAATATTTGAGTGGCCCCACACATTAAAAACCCACCATTTTTTTTTTTTTTTGATTTTCAAGATATTCCGCGTCCTTCGGTGTCAGGCTAGTTTCTAAAAAAAAAAAAAAAAAAGAAAAAATCTGATCACACCACTTATTTTTGGGTCAATGACTTAATGTGCATTTTTTTATATGTATTTTTTGAGAGTGTTAAGTATCTTATAATAATAAGTAAATTATTTTTTTAAATAGTTTTTCAAAGATGTAAAAATTTCTTTTTGTTAGTGACCTAAAGGAGGATTTTGGCTCCTCTAAAAAAAATATTTTTTTAAAAAATGTCTCACTTATTAATATAGAATACTCTGCTCTCTTTGAAGGAAAGAAATTTTACGGTGCTTAACGTTTTTAGAAAAAAAAGTTTAAGAAAAAAATTAATATGAAAGAACATGTTATATCAATAAAAATGATAGAGTTAACAAATTACTAATGTAACATCTCAATTTAAATTTTAATAGTTAATTTAAATTAATAAAAATTTTAAAAAAATATTGAGAGGTAAGTAAATTAGTAGAAAATGATTATTAAATCTAATTTATGATATAATTCTAAATAAAAATTTAAAAAAAATAAAAAAATAAAATAAAATAAAATATAAAATAAAAAATATTATTAAATTATTATAATAAAAAAAGAAAAAAAGAGAAGGTAATAAAAAAAAAGGAAGAAAAAGAAGAAAACCAGTTGCTTGCGTCGCGTCATGATTATATAAAATAATAAAAAAAAGGAGAGAGAGGAAAGAAGAAATAATAAAAAAAAGATGTGGGACCCACTAAATTTTTATAAAACTCATCCGTTTCCTTTCATTTCTTCAATTCTTTTCGCGAGCGAGAGAAGCGAGTCGCCGGTGCGAAATATCTAAATTTTTAAGGTAAGAGTTTTTAATAGGATATTTAGGGTGTGATTTTAAGCTTTTCAAGACTAAGTAAGTGTTCTAAAAATTTTTCTTAGTCATCCTTCTTCTTTGGTTTCTGAGTTTGTAGTGGTAGAAAATTTAAGATCTGGAAGAGGGATGAATTTATGTTGAATAAATATAGTTTTTGAGGTTGTCAGTAGTATAATAAATGTTCTAGAGTATAAATTTGTTGATAATCTTTGAATTTGTGGCTTATGGATCAAATTCTAAACTAGATTTAAAAATATATGTTGATTTATTGAGGTTTAGATGATTATTTGGGATGAGAAATGAATTATTATGGTTATAAGATTATGATTCTAAGCTAGAGACTCAATTTTTAATTTTTAGGTATTTTAGGTACGAATTTATGAAATAAAAAGAAAATTTTGATAATAGAAATTAGTTTAGAAGTTGATTTTTAAATTATTAATGTTTATTGATAATTAAAAGAGGAGTTAAAAATTTTACTTGATAGTATTAACTATAGATTTGTATTAAGATTGAGATTAGGAATTATGTTATATTTTTAATTCTATTATTAGAATTATTTTATTAGTTTCAAAAATTGAAACTAATATTTATAAATAATATGTTATTTGTAGATTGTATTACTGGTGAAGATTGTGGTGAGAGAGAAATTTTAAGGAATAATTTATTGAAAAAGCCATAAGGTAACCATGCTTTTAATTTGTGATTTGTGTTACTTCATGTTAATTGGATGATTATTGAGAAAATTATAAATTTTATAATATTATATAATTATGCAATATTATTATGAATTTATTTGATTATTGTGGGAGGTGTTGGGAGACTTGCTATTGTTGTTGTACTTATGTGCCACGTTGTACGCCCCTATTGGAGCTCAATAGGTGGCTTGTAAGGGCTCGGGCTAATCTACCTTTGGCCGGGTAATTTAGCACCGAGTGAGGGCTACGGTTCGAGGTTAATGGAGGGATATAAGGATGGTTATTTGTGTGTATTGTAATATTTCATATATTTGTTGAAATTATATTATTTTTAATTCTCACTTAGTAAGCACACACTTAACTGTTTGTATACACTATCATAAATTAGCTTTGGTTACTGGAACTTTTGAGTCTCATTATGTGGTTAACAATTTTCAGGAGAAGAGCCACGAGTGACACGTGGAGGAGTCCCAGAGGCTTAGTGGTATAAATCCACTGTCTCTTTTGGATATTTAATTTATGATTTATAATGTGTTATATTGCCAATATTAGAGCTTTTTGTTTATTGTCAATTATATGAATATATAAATGTAATCATGCCTTTCAAACTATTTCTATTTTTGGTACAATTTGGATGACTGTAATTTTAATATTTGGTTTACTTTGGATTGGTTAAAATGGCATGATTATAAGGCCAAATAACTGGCTTGTATTGAAAATTGACTAAATTACTTATTTTACTTGTTGGGAGTATAAGGATGGACAAATGTGATTTAGTTTACTTGTTGGGAGTATAAGGATGGACAAATGTGATTTAGCCTAATGGCACGTGGGAGGTAAAAATTTATCTGAAATGTTATAGTGTGTGAGTTGAAGCCAATTATAAAATATTTTATATTGAAATTATTGATATAAAAATGTGTTAGGTGGCTGTAACCCAACTATGGTTGAGTTAAATTATTTTTTTTAAAAAAATTTTGATGTGTTGCAACTAATGGAAGGAGATTTTTACTTTTTTAAAGATTGTTTTAGAGAAAAAAATGCTTTACTTAATAACATAAGATACCTAACACTTATTGAAGGAAAGTATAAAAAAAAAAAAATACTTTAACCCTTTATTTTTTCTAATATACATATATACAAACATGAAACACCACACCAATGGAACTCTGTTATCTTTTCTTCTCTTAATTTTTTTTCTTTTGTTTTGAGCAAAACTAAATTTATTTTCACTCTACTTTTTTTTTCCTCTTTTATTTGTAACGTTTATTTTTAAAATTTTTTTTAAAAAAATAACTTTTGATCCTTATACTTTGTTCTTATTTGCTATAGATCCCTGTACTTTTTTTTGAATATTTTGAATCCTTATACTTTTATTTTTGGTGTTTTACGTTCATTTAATGTTCCTGCACTTTGATCATTTTGGTTATTTAGGGATTTAAAATATTAAAAAATAAAAGTGTAGGGACTCAAAATATTAAAAAAAATATAAGAACCTATAATAAAATACGAGTAAAGTATAGAAATCAAAAGTTATGTTATTTTTTTTAAATGTCTTGACTTGAAATTTTACTCTAATTTTAAACACAATAAAAATCTCCTAATCAATTTAATTACTAATTTATATTATATTAATTTCATTTTACCATTAACCTCATGTCTCGTCCTATCTCGAGTATGATTTTGCCTTGTCCCATTATGTCCCATCGGCCCATCCTAATTGTTGAACCAGGTTAATTTCATACCAATGTGGTCGAAATGAAGACGAGCCAATCAAGGCGAGAATCCCATGAACACCCCTGCTTGATAATATACTTAGTTTAATAATTAGTTAAAAATTAGTTTAAAAATTTATTAAAAATTTAAATATAATAATTAGTTTAATAAATGCGTTAGAAATTCCTTCCAAAAAAAAAAGAATCACTTAAAAATAATCAGATAAATAAGAAATTACGTTCTGCTAATTCGACTTCCAGAGCCTCGACGCTTTCCAATAGCTTAGAATCGCGTGGCGCCACCCAGACTTATCCGGAACGCCACGTTCGAGTGCCCGCCACTGTACACCTTGCCAGTCAACCTTCTGGAACAGATTCGTTCCGCTTCGCTGGTCACCTGTCTATTTCTACTGCTTCTTCAACCTTCTTCCCCATCTTCTTCCTCCATTTGAGCAGTTTCTTCTAGTTCACACTCCAAGAAGCCGAAACAGAAGCAGGTATTTTCTGATTTGGGTGATGGGGGAAGAAGCAGGCTTGGATGCTGAAGTGATCAGGCGCCTCAATGGAAGCAGCAATGATCAGAGTCTTGAACTTGACATATACCCTTTGAACGGCTACTACTTTGGCTCCAAAAATGCCATTCCCTTCAAGGACGAGACCTTGGCTGATCGTCTTCAGAGAATGAAATCTAAGTTCGTTTTTCGTTTTCTCTTGCTTTCGCTATTTGTGTCTGTCTGTCGTAAACGCTTATATGAGAGTTTTAACTTTATCTTTTAACCACTTTTTCATTTTAGCTATGCTGCTCATGGGATACGAAATTGTCTAGAAGCAGTCATGCTGGTTCGTCTTCTACGATTTCTGCCTCGCATAATTGTTTTGTCCCGCAGTTATTTCAACTTCAAAGAATTAGGATTAAAACTCCTTCGTTTTAGGTTTGTTTGTGGAAACTATAATTTTCTGATCATCGAGGCATCTAGATACTTGTGCACAACAAATATAAAAACTTCAAAGAATTAGGATTAAAACTCCCCCTTTTTAGGTGTGTTTGTGGAAACTATAGTTTTCTGATCATCTAGGCATCTAGATACTTGTGCACAACAAATATAAAAAATTCAAATTCAAATTTAATATTTGTATATAGGTAAATGTGAATATTGGCATGGCTTGAGACTTTTTTTAATCAAGTTTACTGTGATTTAATCTGCCATCCTATCCCTGTAATAAAAATTAATTTCTACAAAAGGTGGTTGCCCCGAGGGCTTTTGCGGCGTGGAGGGGATTATTTTCTCTTTAACGGGTTAGGCCTTTTAGGATAACTGATTCTTGATTAGCTTGGACTAGAATAGTTGCTGCGAATTGCGTGTGACTTGCATGCTGGCAAACGCTTACGCTTCACCAGTGCTTCAGATTCTGAATTTGATTTGAAGCTTGATTGTTGGATGCTGTCTTATTAGGTATCATTCAATTTTTTTTTTTTTTGCTTGAATTAGTTAGTTTTTTTTAAATAAGAAATATCCCTGTCAACATTTTGGTTTCACTTGGAAAACTCCACTCAAGTAAGTAAACTGACATATTGGTGAAGGATTGAAGGATGATGGGACACTGGTGATCTGCCCAAGGCCTCTCATTTAGTTGCTGATTTAAAAGAGTCATATATGTGAGTTAACTGAGACTCGAGACTGTTGACTTCTTTCTCATTTTGTCCATGATTTAGATATCAAGGTGGTCTCAGTCTCGTTTATAGAAGATAGATCCTTTGGGACTGGGAGGGGAAACGGATGTTGCTTGACTTTGCATCAGAAAACATGATAGAAATAGGTGCTTTGTGAATAATTGGGATATTGCAAATGTATTACCCAAGAAGACTAGAAGGTGTTAGCTCATGACTCCTCAACCCTATATAATTACTTAAGCTTGTTGTCGCGACTGATCATCACAACTTGCTCTCAATCTTTTAATGCTCCCTCTTTGTGTAAATTTTGCACATCCTTTAATCCTCATATCTCAGTGATATGAGAGCTGGGCTTCAACGAACTTCTCACACCGTTGCATTACCCCGTACTTGATAGTTGCTTTTAGTTGAGAAAAAAGCCTGATGTCTTGATGCAAACAGATTACTGCAAGATTGAGTAATCAGTGTATTTTGCAATATTATGGGTTTTCTTTCAAGGTCATCTTCAGTTGCGTTTTACTATGGGGATCCATGCTGTGCACGACGCAAACTAATTTCTAACTCCAAGATATCATCTTGAAGCCTATGGGGTATTTTCTTTACATAAATCTCCTCCATATTTCCTATAGAAGGTTGACATATAAGATTCATATAGAAGATTGAAGTTAGGGAAAGCATGGTTGATTGGGCTGTACTTGAAGAATGTATTGATACTTTTCATCATGATTACTAGTCATTTGGCTTTGCCGTTTAAATGCTTGATATTGTCATCCTTTGATACTGAGTCCAAATTCAGAATATGATTCTGAACTGAGAGAATGCAAGTTTTCTTGGATCAGGTTGAGTTGTTCAAACATCCACATTTGTTGCTGCTGCAAGTAAGAAATTCCATCTTTAAACTCCCTGGAGGTCGCCTAAGACCTGGCGAATCAGGTAGGGGATCAAGCTGTTAAAAGTTCAAATAGAAGCTAAAAACTTAAGGCATTATCCAGGGAATTTCCCCAAGCTCTTGCTGAAGTCAGGGGTTTCTGAATTTCCAGATATTGATGGATTAAAGCGTAAGCTGGCAAGGAAGCTTTATGTTGGTGAAGATGGGGCTGGGGCTGAATGGGAGGTAGCAAACTCGTATATTTTCTTTTGTGAACCTTGCTGCATGTAGAGATGCTGAAATGTGTCTTACTTGATTTAGGTGGGCGAATGCCTTGGAATGTGGTGGAGACCTGATTTTGAAACTTTACTGTATCCCTACTTGCCACCTAACGTAAAGAGTCCAAAGGTACATTATTCAAATGCTACTTGTACAAGTTGTGAGGGAAAATGTCTTATTCCCTTGAATCTTTCAACTGCAGGAGTGCACGAAACTGTACCTTGTGAAGCTACCAGAGTCGCGAAAGTTCATTGTTCCTAAGAATCACAAGCTGCTAGCTGTTCCATTGTGCCAAATTCATGAAAATAACAAGGTATGGATTTCCACCAGTGATTCAAGCATGGAGAATATATGGGTATGTTTGAGTTTCCCATGTTACACGCTGGCAATACGTTCTGGACTCCAGTTTCTTGGCAATATTTGATATTAGCTTGTGTGTGACCCCTAAAAGGATATATGTAAACTTTCGAGGATAATTACCCCCTATGTGCTTGTTTTATCGGTTCTGCATTCTGATACATTGAAACTGCCTATGAAGTACAAACATGGTGGAAAAGGAGTTATGGGAATGTCAAATTTATTCCTTGTGTTTATGTTTGTATTCCTTATAGATTGGATATCCATTCTAGATAAGATGTGAAACTTTGGGACTTTAGGCTCGACATAAACTCCTGGGCTTTTTTTTTTGGGCTTCGTGTTGATGTGTATGTGGATCCTAGTATTCTGTTGACAATTTGAATCAAGTGGATTTTTTACTGATGATTAATTGGGTTACCGCTTTTTTTTGAGCGTATTGCAGACATATGGGACAATTATATCAGGGGTCCCCCAGCTGCTGTCAAAATTCTCTTTCAACATGATCGAGTCTTGAATGAAACACCTGCCTGACTAGTGACAGCTTCCTTGCTCATTTGGTTCTGTGCAAGTGCTTGTATATAGATTATGCTGTGTATCATTCTAGAGTGATGATATTGTAAGTTGGGGAAAAAAAAAACAGATTCGTATATGGCACTTAGTCCATGGTTTGAGAGTATATTGTTACCCTCTTAAATGGAGTTGCGAGCATATGAATGGAGCAAGTCCAGGATCACCTTACTCAGGCTGTTCACAGGATGTTCCTATGATTTTTTTGTTCCATCAGGATCTCAGCATTATTTTGTCTAGTCTCTTAAAATCCTATCTTCTTTTTTTTAAACTGAGCTGATACAAACATGAATACCTTGCTTGTTCTTATTGTTATTTCTATCTATTTTGCCTTAATGATAATACGTGGCAGGAAATGGCATTTTGTTAACTTGTGATTGTGGTCCGGATGTCCGAGAAAAGTTAAAGAGTTTTTAATGGAGGGTGGTGTTGGAGATTTGTCATTTGCTACTCAATTAAGAGAAAATTATAGAAAGCTTGAGACAAATAAAAATATTATATAAGTTGTGAATAATATTTTTTTTTAAATTGTTATTCATTTTCTATTATATATTTAACTAATAATTCAGGTCCTCTTGTAAAAATTATAGTAATTTTTAATTCAACTTGTATTATTGAACTAGTAAATTACCTGTGCGATGCACAAATTTTATGCTGTAATTTTTATAAATAAATTCAATCTTATAGGAAGAAATTTATTAAAAGAATAATTTGTAGTAGACATATTCTCGATATCATTTTATACACAGTGAGGCTATATAATTATCATATTTAATATTAAATATGCATATTAAGAGTTAAATATTAGAGCTTTAAAATGAAACTTTTACACTATTAGAGCCTTATCCTATAATAACAACTTTAGTTTAAGTATTAACAATATAGTTAGTCATAACTTTATTATAGTCATGCAATGACAACTATGTTATTATTATATTGACAACTTCATCTTCATTCTTAAAAACTTTAGTTTATGTTTAACAATTACGATTTCTATATTAATAAAGGTTAATTCATTAGCAAGGATTTGGGCTATATATAACTCACAAGGTTGAAGGATAAAATCCTATTACTGATGTGAGGGCTTTATTAGTGGATGATCTGTAAATACATCTACAAGTTTTCTTTGAGTTTGAAAGCATGCCTTGGTCATATTAAGTTCTTGAGATATAACTCACCTAAACTTTTTCTTTATTAAAAAAAAAACAACACTTTTCTATTATTTTGTAGAGGGTCAAAAACATAATTACCTTGTTTCATGGTACTATTTTTTTTATTTACCTATTTTGAACATATTTATTTCTCATTTTCCTAAAAACATATGTATATGTATGTTGCCCGGTTAGGTATCAAATGCAATGCTTAATCCTTATGCACCAAGATTGGGATCGGGCTAATCCGATATTAAACTTAGATTGGTCTTTTATTTTTGAAAAATTATGAAATAAATTTTTTTCACTAAATTATCTCCATCTAAAATTATATTCTCTTGAAAAATAAGATTTTCAAAATTATAAAAGCTCAACAATTATATGTTATGTTAGAAAACAAATTAACATTTTGAATTCAAATAATATATCAATTTTTAAATATTTTTTATAATAATAATAGTAATTTATATTAGGTACAATCCATAAAGAAAAAAATCTTATAAAATCAATTAATATAAATAAAAATATAAAATAGTATATGAATATATTTTTGGCTGAGTAGGATTAAGTTTGAGCTCAACTCAATATGTGCATGAACCGATCTCCTATTGGACTTGTCAAGTTATCAAGTTGATATTACATTCGTAGTTAATATCTATATTATCTATATTATTCATAAATCACAATAAGTTTAAAAATTTTATTAAAGCTATTTTTATTCATATTTATCTTAATTTAAAATTTATTGGAGTAATTTTTTACCAATTTGATTATTAATATTAAAATTTTTTTATATAAATTTATTTTTAAATAAATAATTTTTTAATATGATCTAAAATTGATTGGTCATAATTTCATATATATTCAACATTTAATTAAAAAAAGTAAGTAATTTTTTATTTGATAAGAATAATAAAATACTCACCAACTACTTTTTTTAGTTGATTATTAATGTCTTAAATAAACCATTGCATAATGGATATGATAAGAATGTTAAATGTTATTAAATATTACACAACTATGATTATTTGACAATGAATATCACTTTTTTTTTTTTGCAAAACAAAAATCAATAGGAGAAGAAACCTTGAGGTAGACTTGCTATGGACAAATGGAAGACTAAATAAAAATTAGCGATGTAAATACATGATGGGATTAAAAGATAATTAGGATATAAGTATATGTGCAGTGAACTTATTCAAAGTCAGAATTGTAGAATGAAATCATAGCCGAAATCAATTTGGTTTATTTATAATTGGTATATTATTTATGTTGGAGGATGTTTTTTTATTTAAGCTGTCAATCTAATTTAACTATCAGGTATGTTTGAAATTTAAATCTAAAAACTTTTTTCCTTAAATAGTAACATAATTCCTTTTTGTTTGTTTTATTCTTTGGGCATTGGAATAAAAGTTCAAAATCCCCACCTACTAATTAATTACGTACTTTATATATTTAAATGGTCAATATTTTTTTATCAAATTGTTATATTACTTTTTATCTCATTTGAATTAATATTTAGGAAATAAAAAATTAATCAAGATTTTTTTATCCCAATAGAAAATATTCAAACAAAATTCTTATTTGAATTAATGTATGCACAAACTCAATATTGATTGTTAGTGAACTAAAAACTCAATATTGATTTATAGTATTTTCATGTAAATTTAAAATTATAAACTCCTATCTCATTCCATCTCCATCATTTTCTCTCAACTCTTCCATTATTCTTTTCACAATGGTCAATATCATTCTCTTTAATTATGAAATATTGGATCTTATAGAACTCCATCCAAATTTAAACAATTGAAATTCAAATAACAATATTTATATAAAATAACTTGATAGCATAAAATGAATAAGTATTTAAATAGGATTGATTAACCGTGCATCAAATAAGATAGCCTCCAATATAGGGATACTTATGACCAAAAAAAATATAATATATATGTAAAGAAAATATATAACAACCATACCATTAATGTCATAAATAACTTACTAAATTATTTGTCAAATTTTATATAGTGAATAAAGAAATGTTTTTTTTAAAAAGAGAAAAGTATAATTAGTGATCGATGAAAATTCATGTCACTTTTTTTTATCAACTGAATTTCATGCTACTTTTTTTAAATAAATTATATGCTTCATCCATTTCAAATTATAAAATAAAGCTAGAGAAATTTTTTGTTTGAAAATATAAGATAATTTGAGAAAAATAAGGTTTCATTAATTATATTTTTCTAATATTATCTTTTAGGGAGAGAAAAAATTAAAATGATATTGTGGTATAATAATTAAGTGTGCAGGGTATTTTTAAAAGTTTATAGTTTTGTTTTGAAAAAATAAGTTTATAAAGTGTTATTATGATGTTTTATTGATATATGTAACCTTATATCAAATTGTCTTCTAATTTAAAGTGGAGGAAGTATTTCAATCTATATGTACTAGATGAAAATTTGTGAATAATTAGGCAATGCTCACAAATTTTTATTAAAATTGTTAAGTTGACATGTATTGAGAAAAAAGGAAAAAAATTGAAGAATATTGAAAAATTATATAAGTGAAATATAAAAAGAATAAAGTATAAAATCAAATTGATATATAAAAAAAGTATGCTTTTTTACTCCTATGCAATATAGTATGCAACTATACATTATATAGATATTAGATATATTATATTAGATTAGAATTGTCTAATCTCACACCTTTTTTAAATGTTGTTACTTTTGAGTGAACATTTAAATTAATATGTTATTTCTTAATTATTAAAAATATGATTTTTTATATTGTAGATTAATGATATAAAATAAATGTGGGTTGGTATTTGAGTTTATAATAACATTATGAATTCCATCTCGATATTTAAATTTCAAGGAATTGTTTATATTATTTAATTAAATGATGTTATTTATATTTTCTGTTCAAATAATTGTATTTTTAATTTGAAACATTCAAGGTTTATTGGGATAGATTAAAAGATGATAAAATCAAAATTTAACTTTTGATCGTTTTTAAATTGAGTTGGAGATTATATGATTGATTAAATAATTATTCTAAGTATTTTATTTTGATTATGTGGATTTGGAGTTAATAAGCTACCGATTTTAAATTGAAAGTAGCATGCATAAATATTGAAATTTGATTGTATTTAGCATAAATAATTATACATATTAGATCTTATTAAAACTTCATCCAAATTTAAATATTTGCAATTTAAATCACAATATTTCATAATTATGTAAAATAAGTTGATAGCATATTATGTTCTATTAGGAGCTTATAACAATAACCAAGTAAGTGAATTTGAATCTAAAAGATGGAAATTATATTATACATTAGTCACTTTTTTATAGTCTATATATATAAATAATTAAAAAATAATAAAAACGTACCCACAAATTAACAACTAAACCTATCTCATGAAGCATAAAATTAAAAAAAACGACATCTTGAAGTACATAATTAAGTGATGCACAAGTCAAAAAATATTTTTTTAAAAATATATCTGAATCAAATATATCCTAATTTTTTATAATCTTTTATTTTTTATTTTTAAATTTTTTCATTAATTTCTTAATTTACATTATATCCTTGTTAACGAAACTCTAATTTATCATTCATTTCCTCCAGTAGCATGATGGAAGACAAAGACTCAATATCTACAGAATAAATTGTTTAACTTATACACATATAATATTGATATTATTGTCTATTAAAAATTTATTGTTTATATTATTTGAAAGTTACAATACATTTAAAATATTATTAAAAATATTTATATTTATATTATAATTAAGTTAGAAATTATTGAAATATTTATCATTGATCTTTATATTAATATTAAAATATTTTGATTGAAATGTATTTTTAATTACTAAAAAATTTTTAATATAATTTGAAATAATGAATTGGTTATAATTTAGCATATATTCAAAATTTAACTGAAGTTTTTTTTTTAATTTTGATAGGAATCATAGAATTGCACCCCAAAAATAGTTTTTTCTGTTCTTATTATCCCAAATAAAATGCTATATAATGGGTATGATAAAAAATATAAAATACTATGAAATATGAACGATTATAATTGTTTGATAACATGTAAATCTCTCATTTATTTGTTTTTTTGTAAAAGAAAAACTAAAAGAAGCACAAACTGAACAAAATAAGGAATTAACATTTATGCAATTCATTAATCATGAATTCAAAATAACTAAATATTTTTTAATTTATAATATTTTTCTTGATTTTATTTGCAATTAACTACACAAAGGTGGTGTTACATTGAAAAGGTACGGTCTAATATCCTTCAAGAGTTAAGATTAATTAATTTTTTGATCTCCTTTAAAGGGTTGGTGTGAGTGAAATCTAAAGAATAACACTGGTAGAAATGAGAAGAAATGGAAGGAGTTTTTTGTGGTTATTTGTTGACTGTTATGGAAAAGGAGAAATGAACGTATTTTTGATAATAAGTCTTTATATATATGTTGAGTCAATTACTGCTCATACTAAGGGAATGCTTAGACACCTTCAAGCTAGAGATAAGAATAAGATGAGAAGGACTATGATGCGATGATTGTTGTGGATAGTGCTTTGTCCAGGATTGTGAACACTGAGCTGTGGGGTGATGAACGACCAAGAAGGAAGAAGCTTATAAGCTTTCATGTTTGTTTCTATGGCGTGTGTATAAATCAAAATATTTGTAAATTATGAATTCAGAGTTTATATTTTTTTTCTTATAACCTCTCACCAAATGTTTGAGAAATTACTTCCAAAAAATTATAAAAATTTGACTACCTATATAGAAAATGTATAACTACAAGATAAAAATAAAATGATAAAATTTGATATCACTTTAAAGAAGAGAAGAGACACAAAAACTTATATTAGTATCTTCTAAAACTAATTCAAAACATGTTGAATTATCTCATGAGGTTCATTTAAACATATTTTAAAGATGAATCACTTAAACTATGAGATGCTAGTCACATTAGGATTGAAGTAACATTACCAAAACAAACAACTCAAGTTAACAAATAAAAAATAATTAATGCTCATATAAATTAGTTAAGAGACAAAAAAGAATGATGAGACATCTAAATATACAATGACCTCATGGATGAATTATAAGAACCAAAGCCAAAATTGATAAATGAACATGTGTCCGATCTACTTTATTTATAATTAGTATCTAGACTAGTGTTGGAAGGAATTTTAAATTTTAAAATTTTAATCAACAGGGATTATTAAAATCCAAACAAAATAATTGATTAATCAAAGGGGATTATTAACAACTGAAGCAAGAGGGATCATTAATATATATATATATATATATATTGAAATTGAAATTGAAAATCGAGTGATCAATTTATAATCTTAATATAAAAATATTATTTTGAATTTCAAATAAAATAAAATATAATATATAAGTAACCTCTCATTTACTCTATACGTATATATATATTATCATTTTATTTTTAAAACTGGACCTGTCAAAATATAAACAAAATATACTTTTATTATTGTATGAATATAGAAAATAATTAGATTACTCCTTTTCACATGATTTGACTTGAATTTTGAATAGATAAATATAGTTAAAGGAAAATAAAGTATATACCACCAATAATCCCTCATTTATTTTACATATATATTATTTTATATTTAAAAATATCTATTTTTCCTTTATCTAAATATCGTTTTGAATTTCGAATATATAGATATATTATTTTATAATATGATCAAAATTTTCGAACATCACACGGATAGATCAATAATTTCTTATTCGAATTTATGATATGATTGATGTATAAACCGTAAATTTTGCATAATTAACTATATAATTTTGGAATTTAAATAAATATAAACAATAATAATCCCTTTTAAATATAAAATCTTTTTTTCTAACCAATCCATTTATGAAGCTTAATTTTTGAAACATCTTTTGAATAGGTTGAAATTTTCAGAAATAATGAGAATTCTTTACTATATATATAAAAAGAACCTAGATTCAAAAATTTTCGAGATATTTATATGTGTGTATACACTCAATCATAAGAATTTAGATTTTTGCATATGCTTATAGTGGATGAAAACTTTAAATAGATATATATTAAATTAAATTCAAATATGATTAAATTTGAATTTCAAATAGGTAAAAAAATAATTTTTATATATATTTAAAAATTAATAATTCATCTCACACCTAACTCCAAATCTAAATAATATATTTTGTATAATTAAAAAAATAATAAATAATCTTGAACCTAATCCCAAACTTAACTCTGAAGCATAGAATCATAAGAAAGACATTCTGAAGTATAGAATTGCGGCAAACCTAAAAATAAACACATGACATTCTCTCGTAGCCTTTAACCCTACTTTTATATATATAATGATGAGATTATTTAAATGAAGTTATAAGTATATTTTAAAATAGTTAAAAATATATGATGATGTTATAATAATAAAAAAATTATTATATAAATAAATTTATAATGTAATGAATTAAGATTTAAATTTTTATTGAGTGAAGCAACTACATTTAGTTCTCGATTATGCTTCAAGTTGAGATTACATTAATACTCAATCAACACACATACACATGCATTCATTTAAATATATACGCAGAAAATAATTGCTAAATATACAAATTGATATTCATTTCCGATTATATGTTTAATGATTAAAGGAGAGGACACGGATCCTAGCTAGATGTGTTATGTATCGATGAATATTTTATGTTTGTTACCGATAATATGGCTGATGATCGAAGAACCCCAGAGATCATGTGCACGGCTTTCCAGGCTAATCAATAATCAAAATATCAATTTGATTTAAAACATAATTATATATAAAATGTAACTAAATTATATTATAATTACTTCAGGTCAAAAAATATATCATAATTACTATATAATAAATTGTCGCTACACTAATGATGGTGCAAGCAGTTCCATCGTATTAATGCATCCCAAATAACAAAGTTAAATCATCATTTAAATTATATCATCTAAATAAGTTTTTACTTTGTTAAACTATTTTTTTTATAAAAAAATTTTTAAACATAAATTACATTACACTAACTGACCTTTACTTTTAGGAATGATAGAACTTTTAATTTCTTAAATTTATCTTGATTGTTGGTTTGGTCTTTTAAATTTAATTTTTATTAATTTAATCTCTTATATTTTTTTAAATTATCATGCTAGTTCTTTAAGTTTTAAAAAAAATTAAATCTCAAAATAATCTAAAATGTAAAGTATGTTGATGACCTAACATGTATATATAATTAAATGAGAAGAAATTAACTCTTAAATTAGTTTAATTTTTATCAATATAATTTCTTACATTGTATTTTATTCTTTTATTTTTTAAAATTTCAAAGTCTATTTTTTTCCTACCTTAATCATTATATATCTTTTTATTAATTTGCATGGTTGTCATCAATATTATGGTATTCATATCAACGAATTTAAGAATGTAACTTATTTTTAAATAATAAGAATCAAATCAATAATCGAAATAAGTTTAAGGGACTAAATGGACAAAAATTAAATTTGCGAGACCAAATTAATAATTGAAATAAACTTGTGGACTAACATTGACATTGTCCTTGCTTTTACTCTAACTTTGATTTATAAACTATAGTTTTTACATATTTAGGGCATGTTTAAAAATATTTTTATTTTATTGTTTTGAGAATTGGTGTTTTGTAAAATATGTTTTGAGAACAAAAAATAATAAAATAGGTATTTTTATCATTTTTTCTTGTTTTACAGAACAATAATTCTAAAACACTAAGAAAATGTTCTTATTTTTTGTAACAATATCTTTTTTTTGTTTTTTAAAATACTTTTTAAAAACATGTTTCAAACAGATTTTTTTTTTTTGTTTTTTGTTTTGTTTTGGAGAACACAAAATCATCCTTAGAATAGGTTGCCAAACAAGCCATTAGTTGTGCAAAAGTTAATCCAAAATGCTCTATTTTTTTTTCCTTTTCCTTCCTTTGACCAAATGTTTTAAGTCAAATAGGATGTTAAACCAAAAAAGTTAGCAGATGTTAATTTTTATGATCTAACTAATTAGACTGATAGCCTTTTCTACTCTCCTCACATTGGACCATATTGAAGGTCTCTTACTGCGTAGGAGTAAGCTTCATGCTCATTATTTGAAGTTGGATTATCATTAAGGCCCAACAGGAAATTATAACACCTATCTCAATCAATCAGTTTTCTGTAATAAATCCCATCCCTGTGACAAGACCACTCATAGATCTCATAGAGATTAATTTACTGCCATAATTTCATTATAGTAATATAATACTGAGTTACAGACTTATCACTTTGAATGAGACTTCTAAGAAAATGTTTTACGTGGAATATGGCAACAAGATTTTCTCTAACTGAGTAAGTATTCTTTGTGGACTCCCATATTTCTTTGGCAGTGGTTGCAAGCAAGTAACTCTTATTGATCTCTACTATTATGGAGTTCACAAGCCACACCATTACCTTATTATTTTTAGCAACCCAGACTTCATATTGGGTATCATTAGCTGGTGGTAGAGGAGGAATACTGTTAAATATTTCCGTTTGTTTCTCCTTCATACAACCATGAGAACATTTTGGGTCCACTGTAGGTAGTTATTTCCATTCAATCGGTGAGTAATTGTGATATGAGAAAAATACCTCAGATGCTGATGTTGTTCTAAGGAAGAGAGTCAAAGCCTTTGACCCTGTGCTATCAAACGTACCGTTTGATCCTTTGTCATCATCCGCACCATTCAGCCCAGTACTCCCAGTCTTGTCGCGATCACTGATTGAATTCTTGCTTTCATTGCTGGATTGGAACACCCGTGATGGCCTATAAATGACATCGGGTGAGAGGTTATAGAGCAACAAGAAGAAGAAGAAGCCGAGGGAGTTGAGGTGTTTGATCTGATACCATAAAATTATTTACTGAATAATTTCTTGTATATTTTTGAAAAAAACTGCAATGCATATACAGATGGGGGAGGGAGAGAATAATCAAATTTGAATCCCTCAATTCACTCACTATAATATCTAATCTAATAAAGATAAAACTAATTACAGAATATAAAAGAAAAAAAATAACATTATTAGTCTAAAAGGAAAAAACCCTAGGTTTTGTGTTTTGTGGGTCTAGGACTAATAAGATTGAAGGCCCACATCCAACATGAACAAAACATGTCTTCTCCATTTGAAACAAGTCAAAGCAAATTGTTTCATATCTATTTAATACCTCAACAACAAAGTCATAACTAGATAATGTAGATGTTTGAACCTTTGTTTCATTTAAAAAGTTCTTGTCATAATCGTAAACCATATCAATTATCAATAACTCAAGCAAGTCACCATCACTTGATTCAGAAGCATATTCATTGATTTCCTTTGACATTTTATCAGTATCCATTCTATTTATAACTTGTCATACAATTTCAAAAATAACACAATTAACTTTACAAACACACATAACATTATGTCACTATTCAATTTCAAGTGATCCCTCCTACACATAGCAATTTCTCATTAAATTATGACGTAGAAAAAGCAATAGATCATAGACATTGAAAAGCGACAGTGATACAAGTAAAATAAGTTCTATGGCTGATGAAGGGTGATGAAGCACTCCAGTTGAAGGATTTCTATTGAATTTGACTCCTGACAGTTTATAATGGTCACATCCCTTCCTTTGAAATTAAGCAGCCTTTTCATGTGCCTAAGAGTAAAAAGTTGTTAAGTCTATTGAAAAGAGAAAAAAATGTAATAGAGGAAAAATTGATAGGGTTAAATTACCGAGGAAAAATGCAACAGCTTTGAAATTGACTTTTGCCCCGGTGCACAATGCTTTAATTTTGTGAACAAGAATTCTAATTTCTGGCTCTCTCTGTATATAAAAGAATAATAAAGAAAAGAAATGAAGGCAAAAGCATTGTGTCTGTATCACCTCTTACTTCACCTTTCCTCTTTTTTTCTTTTCCCTTGTACTTTTTGGAATTATTGTACTAAGAACGTGTCTTTAAATAGTCAGACATAAGACACGTGTATAACAAAATAATGATGATGAGATATTGATAAGAGGGATCAAACAAAATAGTGATGTAAGGCAAAGATTTCATGTTATTCAAAGGCAAAATAAAAGGGTTGATTGAGAGAGAGAATTTTGCCAAACTTCTTCACTTGCAGTGATAATGTTTGTTGCTGCACTCCACCTAAATCCAGTGGTTGCAATAGTAAAGAGAACTCACGATGCATACTATGCAATGGATTCATCTTTTATTTTAGTTGCTTAACATTAAATAAACAATTAGTTATAGTATTCGACCTTGTAGTCATAGAAGTTTATGTTTTAGAGTGACAAGCACCATGTGACAAACCAAAATGTCTATCAAAGTTTTTACTATTGGGTTAACCCACATCTTTGAGTCAACATTAGTTTTCATGTATCATACATGAATATTAAAGTGAGTAGAGTAGCTCAACTCACATTCAAAGCAAATGGAGAAATTTGATTCCAACAAGCACCACCTAATTGGAGAAGCTTTTGTGCTTGTATTTGAATCCATACCAATTTTCATTCCTTTAAATCTACTTCCTTACTGTCACTACCTTCATCAAATCAAAAAATTATGTCTGAACCTGAACAAAATTACAACACCACTAGAACTAGAAGGAACTACATAACAATACCAAAACCAGAAGGAACTATATAACAACAACATGATGAAAAATAAGCTTAATGAAATATGCCTATACCTTAGTCTAACTCAAAAGGAACTATATACTAATTAGTTAGATCAGCAACATAAAACACCAGTACAAGAACGAAATTATAATAGTTCGAATATCAAATCTACATGCACCGATTAAAGATGAAAAGCCAAGAAAGATGAAATTACAACTGTTCAAATATCATATCCAACAAATTAAAGTAATAGTTAACAAGTTAATCGAGAAATGAAGATGAAATTTGAAGAAGAAAGGTGAAGATGAAAAGCGATGGATGATAGGAAACAAAGGTCCGCCTCCTTCAAGAAATTAGTAATAGACTTGTCAAAGGCAACATCGTGCAAGGCGACTCTGGCGAGAAGGGAGGCGATGGCCCCGCTCTACGATGAAGACTCTGCACCAAAGGCAGAGCGATGGCAAACTCTACAATGATGAAAGTGAGGCGTGCGTTTTGGATCTGGCAAGGTGCCTTTTTTATCAGGACAAAATTACATCATTTGCCATTAATGGAAACAATCCTCATTTTTTGTTTCCCTCTTTTTACCTCTAAAACTAAAAAGAGATAAACAAAAAGGGCTAAAAGTTGTTTTTTGTTTTCTTGCATTTAAAAACAAAATATTAAAAAATGTTTTCAATTTTTTTTAGAAATTATTAACCAAGCAATTTTTTTTGTTTTAAAAATATAAAAATGAAAAAATAGGCCTCTGTTGACAGCTTGTGTCTGTGAGACAAAGTTGGATCATTGTCATGTCATTCCTAGTTAAGCGAGGGAGTGACGATGTTCTTATAGAGTAAAGTTTACATGTTCTTTTTTGACCAATAATTTACGTTAATTCAAGTAGCCCATCATTTCTTGCAATGATCTAAAGCAAGAGGAAATACCAACTTTCTTTTCAAATAAGTGATGATGTCTCGAATTAAAATCCAAAAAGGACAAAGTCGTTTGACTAAAATGAATGAGCAATGAGTGCATCATAAGAAAACTAACTTATAGGGTCGGAGTTCCTGGCAGGTTCATAACTTCAAATTAAATTAACATGTAAAAAAGAATCATAACAGAACACACACGCACAAATTCCCACATAAGAATAATGCAATCTATCTCATAAATTATCAAAACTCAAACAGCCACGGGGACCCAACATTATTCTTCAGTAATACTTCAGGGAAAAAAGAGAGTTAATTAAAAATGGAAGCCACCTTGCAATGAAGCTTTGGTGGCAGAAAAAGTGGATAGAAATTACAGTCACATGGAAGAGCTCTGCCTGTTGTGACACCACAGTTGCTGAGAATGGCAGGTTTCATCTAAGCGTGGAACTTAGTCTCACATTGGGTAGTAAAAATGTGAGCAAAGCAACGAGCAGCAATAAAATCTGAGCGAACCTACAAAAAGAAATACTTCCTTTATTAAAAATTATATAATATTTTTAATCGAATATCACCACCCAATAAATTAATTATTTATTTTTAAATTAATCCTATCTTATCATATTCATTTTTATTAAATACCTTACAATAAATATAAAGTCATTATAAATAAGAGTATTTAAAAAAAGATAATGATTACATCTTAAAAAATTAAAAATATTTATATTTTTTTAATATCAAATTTTTTAAAAATATTTTATATTTTTAAACGAAAAGAATATACCTCTTCAACTTTTTGACTAAGATTAAGTGTAGTATTTGTTTTTGTTAGTTTAATACCTGATACGTGAATCATTGGCCCACATGATACTAAATTAACTAGATTTACTCGAGAATGTCTCAGTATATAAAGATAGAAACAAAAATAATTATAAAAATTTAAAAATTAATTTAGGGTCCTTATAATTTAAAATAAAATATGTCGTCCTACTTCTATTTTATATTAATTGTAGATACTTTTTTTATTTTTAAAATCTATATACATTTCTTTTAAAATTAATTGATATAAAATATAAACATTTTTTTTTACTTTTAAGTTTTTATTTTCATTCACCCGATCATTTATTGACAGTTAAATCACATATGATGAATCAAAATAATTTTATTTAAAAATAAATGTCATCTAAAAATGCAATAACATGCTATATTTGATAATTAAAGGTAAATTTAAAGTACTGAAAGTTTCTTCCAAGTTTTTTTGATGTATATTAATTTTCCAATCAGATGCAAGCATGGTTGAGATCTATCAAACACAATAACTCGCTCCTCTCTGATTCTAAATGCTACATACACACTGAGACACAAACTAGAAGAGAGACTCTATTCGTTACGTGGATCTCAATTTTCTTTAAAGATATAAAGGTCAGTTCTTAGGGTGAATCTATGAAAATTTTAGATGTTTTCAGATGCTTTCGGGTGCTTGAAAATTCCACAAATCCGACTAAAATATATTGAATTGGTTTGGTTTAAGAGTTCGCTTCTCTGATGCATCCACACATTTTCTATCATCACAGCTCAGTAAATAGACGGTGCCTGTAAGTCTTTGGAAGTCCCACATCGCCAGCAACCTTTATAAAGTTCATGATATGTGTCATCAATCGCCGAGCAGAGTAACGTCAGATTGTGACCCAAGTGCTGGCCAAAAGAATACAATCATAACGAAATGTTAAAAATGAATCATAATCGAACACACGTACTCGCACATTCACACATAAGAATACGGTCTACCTCATAAATCAGCACAACTCAAATTATCAAGAGGACACAACAACTTATTTTTAATTAATAATAATTTATTTAAATTTATTATTCATTTAACTTTTGATAATCATCATTTTTTTGATTGAAATAAATTTCTTTGTGTGATCTCTGATTGCCATTTTTTCTATAATATAATTTAGTTTATATTAATTTTGTTTGTTGAAATTTTTTATTGTTTTATTTTAATAAAACCCTATGAAGACTAGGGGTGAGTATCGGTCGGTTCGGTTCGATTTCAAAATATGCAGAATCGATCGATCGAATAACACTGAAAATGAAAACCGAATCGAACCGAATAAGCCAATTGAACCGAATAAAGACCGAACCGAAATTTGATAATTCGATTCGGTCGGTTAATTCGATTTTTTGGTTTCATATTTGGCTATTAAAATTGAGCCCATTTTTTAAATATTAAAACAAACAACACTACAAAATTGGGCCTTTTTTTCTATTCGTTTTTTTCAATATGAGCCCATTCTAATTACACCCATATGACATAAAGTTCAAATATTATAAAGGCATGGATAATCAAATAAACAACCATAAATAAACATCGATGATCAAATAATGGCCCCATAATCCAGTCACAACACCTACTGATGAGAGTGACTGATTGAACTGGGATTTCAAGTGATGTTATTATTTTTTATTCTTTATTAAAATAAAAAATAAAAATAAAAATAAAATAATTTAAAAATTAAATATAATTTATAAATTAATAAATTATATGTAATTCGGTCGGTTTGGTCTATTCGATTTTAAATTTTACTAACCGAATCGAACCGATCAACCGAAATATTTAAAATAAAAAAATTAAATCAAATTAAAAAATCAAATAGATCAAATCAAATAAATAAAATTCGATTCGATTCAATTTTTAATTTTAATTTGATTTTGGTCACCCCTGATGAAGACTATATTTAACCTGATCAGGCCCTCCTCTACCATTTAAAGATTTGGAAACCGTCGCTGCTCGTCATCCTTATCCTCCACTGCGCCGCTGCCCACTCTTGTTCGATTTCACCGTCGCTCAGGTTTGGTCTGATCCTCGCGTCGCCCAGATCTGTGCCATCGTCGCAGCACCCAGACCTGTGCACGTCTTCGCCGTCGCCCCATCCCGCATCATTCCGAGGTAATATTGAGTGCCCTTTGTTGCCTTTCATGCTCCTTATGATTCATCCTAGGTTCCCCCCTAATCTTTGGTTTCTTCTCATCACAAGTCCTTCAGCTTTTCCTTTGATTTGGCTCGATATTCATTTGATTCGTAGCTTCATTTAGGGTGGCATGTTATTTCTCTGTTTTCTATGCATGTTTATTGATTAAAAATCATATAAGCTATTGTAAATATTTTTAGTTGCTTTTTGAGAAAATTTTCTGGCCGTTTATTCTTATATCAGAAAGACTTATGGTACATCTAAAACTCCAACACTTGTTTGGCAAACTAGTTTACATGATTCACCGCTTGCAAAATTTGATGAGCAAATTTGGTTTGTCTTGTATTTATTCAGTTCTTTGGATTAATTGCTCGTCTCTGATTTCAGTATTTCCTGTAATCTGATGTATTATATGTATTATTCAGTTTCTTTGATTCAAACATAAAACGAGTTAAAATCACCGGTCATCAAGACCTACAGTCATATACTCCACAACCGGTGATTTTAACTCGTTTTATGTTTATGGGCGTCCATGATCCAACATCCCGCACCGTATCAAGTCCATCCACAACCTCGCCAAAATGTCACATGAGAGCTGCCAAAAGATTTCAAACACCAGGATTAGCATATTATGCATTTTTACAAATGTAATGTTTGAAGCCCGAGCATTTTATAATGACACCCCAGTTGGTCAAGCGGAAAAAACAAAGCAAGACGAGAGCTAACAATATAAATGCACCTGTCAAGGCTGTGATCAGCTTCCAATATTATCACAAAATGAGACCCACGATCATTACAGTCTCTTCTATCCATTGATAGTAACCCTTTCCTATCATGCTTGCACTCATTTTCCTCAATTGAAATAGATCACAACAATGTAGAATAGACATAAATAGACATACATTTTGATTAACTTTTCAAAAGTATGATCTAGCATTCTCACCTAGAAAATATGGGCCATATATGCTATCTCTACCTTTCCCTGCGAGACGATCAAAAACAAGATTCAAAGGTGTAAGAGTAAACATTAATTATAGGAAGGAGGAGAAGTGATTGGTACCTTCAACAAATTATAGCAAACTGGACATCAGACCAAATGAAACTTATAACTGCAATTAACATTGCAAGTACTAAGAACCTAACAGTGCTTGATGAATATGACAAAATGCTGAGAGGATCATGCAAATAATATTTCATATTAAGTAAAACAGTATTTTACATGAATTGGAGAATTATACGTACACTGTAGAGACTAGTTAAACATGCGATTTCCAAACAAACACACTATTTATCCACTCGTTTAGAAATGCATCTCAGGTGACGACATTTTAATTGGGGAAAAAAGATCCAATTAAAATCCTCAACTGCTGGTCTTAGTTAATTCCCACTGTTTAGGAACCCCAATGATTTGAAGACGGGATACAAAATTTACTTGAAATCAACATATCAATATCTAATATAAAATATACATAACAAGACGCATCATTCACAGGCAACGGACATCACGGCTCATTCTATGAATACCATGCCATGCACCAAAACATGAATCTACTTTTGTTTATTTAGTAATTAGTAATAATTAGAAAAAATAATAATAACTGAATCGATTGAAATTGACTAAATGTATTGTATCAAATAACTAGCTCCAGAGAGTAGCCAAGTGTGTCATCATAAGGTCAATGCATTGACAGACATCATACCTCTTGGACACAAAGCACCTCCCTGCAAAGGAAAAGTGGCCGTCAGTCCCTAGTCTTGATGCCACATTGCATAGAAAACAGTTTTGGACATAAAAAACCTATTTAGTATTGTAAGATGGACAACTGAGTAAGTAAAAGCCTAAAACTATATCAGCACATACCTTCACATGGGATAGGCTATCGACCTTATAAAGAAAACATTGCAGGTAAGACAAAAGCTTCCCAATTTTGGGACTTACTCCCATTTTACCTGAACAAAAGAGAAGTCTAAATGGGAAATGGGGAAGCCATATGCATAAACCATAAATTCCAACTTAAATTAGCATATCCAGGGCTTGTTCAACTAGTGAAACTGCAAATTCCAGTACAGGAGGGATCTATATAAAAGAAATGAGATCAGATAATTACTTGTACATAGCGCATGGAAATTTGATACGGTGTAGGGGGCTTTGTCATGGAATAGCTGGGAGCATAAAAGAATTCATTAGGTTGCACTTCTACACTCGTAGTCAAAGTTGCAAAATTCAATAGTGTTGAAAACAAAAGGGTACCTTAAAAGCCATCCTTTTATGGATCTCCCATTTACAGATATCCATGTAAAGAAGGGGTGCGGATCCTCCTCCGCCGTTCTTTCTTTTGTGAATTAGAACTCAGGCCAACAAAACCCCTAAAGTCACAAAAGTCAATCAAGAGAGGCCAATTAATTACTGATATTATGAAATAATAAATAATGCATCAGAAGCAGACACTGATACTGGCACTGTGCCATTTTTTTTCCCAACAGGAAATTTAAATAATCAAAATCAAACTTTGCAACTCAATTTTTTAATAGCATAAGAACATGATAAAGTTATAAAACCAAACATATAAAGAATCTCGTGTGGGCCAATGACCCACGTATTAGGCATTAAACTAATAAAAATTGGGGAGAAGGGAGGGAAAATTTAGCCCTTCTTGCTTGAGGAGATGTGAAGAGAGAAAAGATGGGCCAAAGGGATCACAGCTCGTTGATCGTGGTCCCACTTATGATGAAAATTTGGTTTAGGTTTAAGATTTTAGACGAACCATCCTCTGGGTGCAATAGTTTTTTGAACACTTGACATGGCTTGATGGTTGTCTTTTGCATGGTTCTTGCCATGATCTCTTTCATTTCCAAAAAGAAAAAAAATGACATAGGTTTAGGATTTTAGATGAACCACCTTAAGATTGTGATAGTTTCTGAGCGTTAACATGATTTGATGGTTGTCTTTTGCACAGTTCTTATTGTGGTCTTTCTCAGTTAAAAAAAATTGGTTTTAGTGGTTTTAATTGTCTTAGTTATTATCAAGTTATTTTCAATTGTGTTTGCCTGGTTATTATTTTTAGTTATTATGGCAGACTATAAATACTTGTTATGTATATCTACATAGAGATGATTGAAATATTATCTAGTATGTGTGTCATCTAAAATTTTAGGGTTTGTTTGGTTATTTTTTTTTAAGAGTTGGTTTATAACACAATTTTAAAAGCTGTCCTTGAGAACTAGTTAAAAAAAAAACTTGTTTGGTAATAATAATCTCAAGACAGTTTTGGCATTTGAAAAAAACAAAAACTTGCCTGCAAAATTGCTACTGAAAGTTAATTTTGAGAACTAAAATACAATAAAATTTGTTTAGTAGAAAATTGTTTTGGCTGTTGTTTTGAAGTACAAATTTAATTTTTTTGAAGTTACTTTACAATTTACAAAATGAGCAATATTTATGACAACATGAATTTTATTATATTATTATTAACATATTAGTATTTTACTAGTAGTATGATCTTATAATTTGCTTGAGGGTGATAAATCAAAACAACCAAATATGCTAAAAAGGAAAAATATGATTAATGAATTAATTTCAACTAGAAATTGATGTTCACTCTGAAGAAAAATAAAAAATAAAAGCAATATAAATGAAATAAGACAAAAAATAAAGATAAGATAAATGGAATAATGTTTTGAAAATTGTCACTTGAATTTATTTATCATAACAACATTGTTTAGGTAAATGGATTGTCAAATCTCCATTGAAAAAAAATTATGAGTTCAACAAAACAAGTCAAATTAGTTCAATTAATTTATTAGTTACATTATGCCCACATCTTATTTGCAAGACAATCTATATACATTGTCATATCTGTTGCACCTTGATGAGAAAATATCAACAAGATAACATCATTTGAGCTCATTCCCTCTATCTTATGTGGAGCTTCATTCATGATATCAATTTCTATTTCCTTTTCTTCTCAAATCCTAAACAATTTATCATGGAAATTCCATTTGCTTATATAATTGTGAATTGTACAATATGCTATAACTATTAGTTGTTGCCTAAAAGTTTATATAGAAGCATCAACTTCAAAATAGAAAATATGTTTTACAAAAATCTAAAGCAACGCTCAGTTGTCATTCTCAAAGATGAGTGTCCATAATTAAATAATAAAGCAACACTCAATTGTAATTCTTAAAGATGAGTGCCTATAATTAAATAACTCTTCTTGACTTTTGGATTGTATACATTTGCCTCTATATTCTTGTGCACGATAACTTTTACCCTTATAAGAGGGAAGAAAACCTCCAATGCATGGACAGAAAGAATCAACAAGATAGGAAAAAAAACCTACATCAATGTAAAATATGTTAAATTTATATATTTATTTTATCAAAGCATAAAAATTATAACACTAGTGCTCACCTCTAGATGGCCAAGGAAAATGTGCATATGGATTGGTAAGTGCATCCATAAAAACTTTTGCATTATGTGCACTTCCTTCCCATCCTGAATACACATACGTAAACATCATATCAAAATCACAAGTGTATGGGTGCACATGACATTCTGCATGACTATTGACTTTCTACTTTAACATGAAATTTTCTTTTCAGCAGGGACATATGCACTAATATATATACCATCAATTGCATCCAAATAATTCTACAACAAAGCTTGAATAAATAAAATTAAGAATACATTTATTCGAACACATAAATGATATTGTAAATGAAAAATTTCATACCTTGAACTAAGGATAGTATTTTTTACTTGTTTTAATTTTGTCAAGTAATTCTATAGATTCTTGTTTTACCAATTCTTTTCTTAGTTGACATACTACTCTTAACACTTCTTTAAAGCAATGAGAAATTGTTTCTATTAAATATTGGAAACAATTAGCAATAACTTTGCGATGAACATTATGACCAATTATGAATAAAAACTATGCAACTTTTTCCTTTATAAGCACACCTCTTGAGTCTATTAAGAAGCTATTTCCCCTAAATTCATGACAAAAGTTAACTGTAGCACATATATAGATGAGGGAGGGAGAGAATAATCATATTTGGATCCCTCAATTCACTCACTATAATATCTAATCCAATAAAGATAAAGCTCATTGTAGAATATAAAAGGAAAAATAATGTTATTAGCTTACAAGGAAAAAAACCCTACGTTTTGTGTTTTGTGGGTCTAGGCCTAATAAGACTAAAGCCCACATCCAACACTCTCATTAAAGCTGGTGAGTAGATGTTGATCATTCCCGACTTGCTTTTGAATGCTTCAAATTTCTCTTGAGTTAGTGCTTTAGTCATTACATCTGCAATTTGTTGCCCTAAAGGGATGTATGACAAATCAACTACTTTTATGTCCAATTTTTCTTTGATGAAGTGTCGATTAATTTCCACATGCTTTGTGCGATCATGATGTATAAGATTGTTTGCGATCTTGATTGCTGACATGTTATCACACCATGCTTTGATCAGTCTAATTGTCTCAATCTTTAAGTTCTTTTAGAAGTCTGATAATCCATATTCCTTCACAAGTTTCAAAAGGGCAATTGCCGTATATTTAAACTCAGCAAAGCTTCTAGAAACCACTGGCTGCTTCTTACTTTTGCAAGTTACCAGGTTACCCTATATGTACGAGCACTACCTTATAGTAGATCGTCCATCTATTTTAAACTAGCCCAATCTACATATGTGAACAACCCTATGTCCTTAGTATCACCTTTTGTAAAGAATAAGCCCAAGCTGGGGTCTTTTTTGGGTATCTGATAGACAACAATCATATGTTCTTTTTTAGGACAGCTGGAGAATTGACTTACTACACTCACAGGAAAATAGATATCAAGTTGCATTTGAGATAAGTAAATCAGCTTCCCCACCAATTTTTGATATTTTTCTTTTTTTACTGTTACATGTAACATCCTGATTTTCTAATCTTACAATTAGCTATTAATCAGAGATAAGTTAGTAATTACTAAAAAATTAAAGACTTGGATGATTAGTTAATGATTTATGTCTTTGGGGCATTAAATGAACACATACAGGTGGAAGAATTGCGTTTCAAAGCAAAACGTGTGTGCGCGGTGAGGATTTTTCTTATTGTGCCATGCGTGCAGCACATGTACTAGAAAATCACCTGATAAGTTGTGATTTGGCTTGGATTTTAAAAGGGATAAATATTGAAAATATGAGGGGAGAAGAGAAGGAGCCAAGGTCTGATAGGGCAAGATAGTTTGGGAGCTTGGAAAGTGTTTATGATCAGTAACTTATTGAATAAATTTCATACAACCCTTACCTTCCATTCTACCATAATTTCTCTTGGTATGAGTTATAGAGCAATTGAATTAGGAAAATTTAATGGGTTTATTTTTTACCTTATAGTTATGAAAAGATTCTTAAAAGTTAAATTAGAGCTTTATAATTGGTTTGGAGTTGAGCGATAAAGCTTTGAACCCGTAAATTCAGTTTGGCCCTAATTCAATGAAAGTTTGGGGTGGAAATGGTGTAAAATTAGAATAAGATCATTCAAAGTGATATAAAGTGATAATCGAGTGGTAACTAACTTAAAATGAATAAACAAAAGTGAATGAATGGTTAATTGTAGCATTGAGTAGTAAAAAAGTATTTTTGGTTCAATTAAATAATTGACTAATAATGTCAATTGTCTATAGATTGACATAATCCATGGGTAGAGTATGGAAAGAGGCTTGTAGTGATGCGTGAGTGATTATCGAAACCTACAGGTAACCTTTCTTGTGATAGAAAGGTTAAGGCAATCGAATAACTTTCTCTGTTTGATTATTTATTGTAACTGTGAAAGTATACTATCTATTACATGAAACTATTTTAAACCAAACATGTTTTGTGTTAGTGTATGATTACGACATGAAAATAAACTTTGGATAAGTAAACAAGTGAAATTATGTAGTTTTATATATGTATATGTGTGTATGGACATGTGTGTATAGTTTTTATGGTCTAATTAATTAGATTGATAGTTGAATTGATGATGTGTTAATTAAATAAAAATAATTAAATGCATATATAAAATAAATACAAGCAATAAATCTACATTATTTCTAGTTGTTAGTAAAATGACATAACATGATTGTAAATTAACAATATTATAAATTATAATTTTACAATTTGTAAACATAGGTGGATCTGATTAAATTAGGTATTAGTAAACTTAAAAATAATCTTTATTTACACCTATAATTATCATTATATTTATAAAAAAGGGGTCTCATATCATATTATACACATATAAATTGTCTGAAAATAAGTTGGCTTTTGATAAGGGTTTAATTTTTTTTGTTTCTTTTAATTTTTTTAATATTATGGTTAGAAATTTTTAATTTTTTAAAAACCACTCCAGTGTTTAGTTCAACTTCAATCTAATTTGGCTCATCAACAAAAAAAGGTTTTTTCATTTAAACTAAACCATTGACGGCCTAACCAATCCGATCATCTAATTCAATTTAGTTCTTAAAAAAATGGTTAACAACTTTTAGGGGCAAAACTAGGTGTACTTTAAGGGGGTCTGAACTTGTTAGAACTTAGAAAATATCATAGGATAATTGCCATGGCCAATGAGGTTTTGGCTCCCCTTCTTGAAAAAAAAAACCCTTCCACCCAAAAATTTGCATCCATATGCATAATGGAGGAGCCAGGATCCTGGGTTAGGAGGCAAAATAATTTACATATTTATAATTTAAAAAAATAATAACAAAAAATATTTAATAATTACATACCTTATAAGATTTCTCTACGTAGTTTCATTTTTTGGAATGGTTGAACAATTAGCTCATTATCTATGTTTTCAAATACGTCTTTTTTAATATAAGTCACAAGATAATCATTCATTCATAAATTCCCCATTCGATTGCACAATTAATTTTTTTACAAACTTCATAACAGAAAAGATTCTTTTAACTATTGCTATGGCAACAGGTAACATCATTGCTAATTTTAAGAGAAGGTAAATAAATAGATAGACAATATGTATTTCAGTTTCAACTAATTTTTTTGCAAATCTGATTTGAGACTTCAAACAACGTGGGCTAGATTATTTTTTTCTTATTTTCTTAAAGGTTTAATAAATATTATTTTTTTATAAAATAATATTAATATTTGGGTATATTAAAATTGTGAACTAAAATTTATTGGGCTTTTGAGTTAAAAAAATTAATTTTAGATTTGAGTTAAAAAGTAATATGAAATGAGATTAAAATGTAAAATATAAAAAAAGAGAGGTGTAAAAAAAAAAAAGGAGGCGTGCAAAATTTAAATACATATATCTCCATCTCCATGTAAGTAATTTTTCTCATTTGAAAGAGACATATGCATGTATTTGAGAGCATATTGTCACGATTCATGATTTTTTATGAAGTTAAAGAGCTCTGGAATGTTTCAAAACCCTCCAGAAGGCTCTCAGATAACCTTAAGAGTACTAAAAAGTGTAAGAACATTCTAGAAAAATTTACAAAACTCTAACCTCAATATTTTAATATTGCCTCTAGATATTTCCATATAAATATCCAGATATTTATTGTAAATATTTAGGAGAGAATTCTAAAGAATCAATTGTAATCGTAGGATCAATTTAATTTTCACCATCCACTAAGGAGGTGAGAATTTTCTAGATTCAAGGGGAGGTCTATAAATAACTCACCCCTCCTCATTTGTAAATCATCTTAAGTTCTTAAAGTAACACTACTCTCACATTCCTCAAGCTCTCTCAACTATCATTTGCTCTCAAATTTTCCCTTTCCTCAACTTAACCAAGCATCATTTTTTTTCCACAAGTTAGGTTTACTTAACAACTTTCAGTGAAGATTGTCTAAATGCCACACAAGTTCAAAGACTAGATCTGTGACAATATGCTCTCCTCAAATACATGTGGTTCCGCCATTGCATTTTGCATATGTATGCACGAATACATAAATACAATTTCTTTTTTTTATAACACATAAATACAATATCTTGTTAGTACATTAAATAGATATAAAATATATATTTATTTGGCAATACAAATACTGTTTGTATTATTCATTTATGATGTCAGTTCTTCATGTGAAAAGAATAAATCTTAAGATTTGTATTAAATATGTTTGTCAGGCTTTTTAGGTTTTACTAAATTATTAAAAAAATTTGAAGAAGTTTATTTTTCATCATTGAAATTGCATGTACATTGATCCATGTTTGTTTAAGTATATTTTAAGCATACACTTTATATATATATATATATATATATATTATATATATATATATTTTATATTTTTTAAATATTTATAATTATTCATAATTATTATCTTATATTTTTTAGATAATAAGATTAAATTTGGCCCCACCTCTATATCCTTGCTGGTTCCGCCCCCGACGGCTTTAGTGGATGATCCAAGTGTTCTAATCATCCGGTCCTTAAAAACAATGCTTTGACCTCAATCTTCCTTTTTTCAAAAACCACGTGCTTCTTTTTTTATTTGGTTGAGTTTTCTTTTTGTTACTTTCTTTTCTAATCAGACAAGTAACTGCCTACCTACCCTCCGTGAAAAAAACATGACATAATGTGAATTATAAGGAAAAATATCCTTACATTATCCTCATTGGATGATCAAAATTTTTCAAAAAACTTCTAGATTAACCTTCTAGTAGAGGATACAATGTATATTAAGAAATTGACATAATTTTTTAATATTTCATACAAAATTTACCAAGTGAATCATAATTCTTACTAAAAATCTTGCCAGAGATATTTTATGTATTAGCATGGGTATACCATGATTTCAGAAATTTGGATTATAGTGGGTTATGTATTATGTCATTTTTATTATTTTTTAATTTTTTGTTTAATTTAATTTTGTGGGCTCATACCCTTAAATTTTTAAATGTAGCTATGTTTTGGCATATAGTAGTATGTATATGCTCCCATGTGTGCAATATAAATGTCTTAAAAACTAAGAGAGGGCAAACTGTAATATTGTGGGGTCTTCAATATATTAAATTGACAATTGAACTCATCATATAATAATTAAATTGGGTTAAAAAAATAATGCTCCTATTAAACATATATACATTACATTAATCAAATAATTTATAACTATTTCATCAATAATTTACAAGGATAACTTTAACTTTACATATCTAATAATTAAATTGATCATTTTAATTATTGAATATGTGAAGTTATGATTGTAAAAAGTTAAATTTTTCCTAATAAATTATTAATAAAGTAGTTATAAATAATTAATATTAAACTTTATCAATAACACATGATTGTTTAATTGTTGGATATGTGAAATTACAATTATAAAATGTTGAAATTATAATTGTAAATTGTTGATAAAATAATTCTAAATTAATTATTATTTTTGTAGCCTAATTTAAAATAAAACTCAGGTCTCAAGGGACATGGTTGTGGTTTTCAAATTTCATGAAATTTATTTATAAATAAATCTACTCCACGAGATTTTTTTCATTAAAATTTTACTATAAGGATTTAGAAGAAAGTTAACATTAATTAATTTTTTAATCAAGCCAAAGTATACATTTAACCTTTTAATTTCACACAATATTTTATTTTAATCTTTTAATTATATAAAATATCTTTTTAGTTCATTCACCCTTACCTTGTTAGCTTTATCCTAAAAATTTTTTATATTAAACTTTTAAATATTGATAAAATATCAGTAAATGTTAACATATTAAGTTTAATTTTTTTAAAATAATAATGATTGATATAAAAAATAATTATTTAAAATTAACAATATTAAAATTAAAATACTATAAAGCTCCTTGATAAAATTAAAGAATCAAAGTAAAATTTAATATAAAATTAAAAATTAAAAATATATTTTAACCTTTTAACAGGTAACGATCTAATCTTTTAAAAGTTAACAAGTCAAACCGCGTTTGCATTCAAATCACGTGCTAACTAGACCGATCGCGTCCGAACGCTGATGAGTGTGTGTGTGTCCTTGCTTGATCATATTGCTCCAATCGAAATTCTTCGTAGTATAGGAAGTGACGAAGTGTGTGAGAGGTTTTTTTTTTATTATTATTATTATCAAAAAATAGATTCTATTTTAAAAATAAAATCATTAAAAGATAATAATAACACATAATATTTTATTTAAATGTTCACTTAATTCTTGAAAACAATGCAATCTAACTTTTATTATTAAAAAAATTAATCTTAACGGTTAGTTAATTAAAAATAAAAAATAAAAAATAACTTAAAAATTATAAAAAATGACCAAATAATTATAGATAATAGCATAAAAAATTACATAAAATGACTGAAATTTTTTTATTATTTTTTAGATCATTTTCTGATCAAGTAACTCTTAAAATTAATTTTTATTAATGACAGGTGGTATACTGCATTATTTTTAAAATTTAAAAAAATAATTTATATGATAAAAATCTATAATACTACTAGAAAGTCAGGAAATAATTTTTTTATTTATCTTTTATTTAATTGAAGTAGTGAAATTTTAATAGAGGCAGCATCAATAAACTGGACCAGGGTTCATGGAAGAATTTCTCGTGCGTCTAACGTCTTAGTTGTGGGAGAGAAAAAAAAGAAAAAAGTCAAACGCGTTAGTAGGAAGGCGAGTGCTCTGAAAAGTCAGCGAAAGTCTCTGTCTTCACAGTCTCACTCTCTTCTTTTTTCCAGTTCGCCAACGGTGACTACTTTTTCATTAACCAATCCCGTATCAAAATTTTAGTTTCACAATACTCTCTGGTGAACTTATTCTTAACTTCAAATTTTTGCCCCATTCATAAGTAGTTGCCTTACATAAAATCTATAAATCATATCGATTTTGCTGCATTCTTTTCTATTCTCTTCTCTTTCCTTCCATCAACGCCGAAGGCTCTCTAGTCTGAAGTCTCCACCATTGGTGAAGACAGAGAGCTAGCGAAACTCATCAGAAACCCCGTGATCATGAATAAAGGAAGCTTAGGCCCAAATCTCAAACTCACTGTTCCTGCATATAATCAAGTTTCTTTCGCCAAGTTTCTGTAAGTCTGTCTTTGGGTGTAATTGTATCTATTCATGAAAGAATGTGTTCGTATTATGTTTGAATTTGTCCGATTGGAGTGATCGGCACGTAACTGTGTGCATATGATAGGACTGAGAGCGGTACCTTCAAGGATGAGGATCTGCTAGTCAACAAGAATGGTGTTCGAATTATCTCTCAGTGTGAAGTTGAAGCTGTAAGATATTTCTCTCGGCTTTTTTGGCTTTTTGCCCCCTCCTCTTGCATTCTCTCTTTTATTTATCTATTTATTAATCAGATTGCTCAAATGTTTCTTTTGCTGCATTTGTATCTGCCGAGTGCTAAGGGAATCCTGAAATTTGACGTTTCTTTATTTTGAAGGCTCAAAAAGCAAATGGGGAATTATTTATTTGAAAAGGAAAAGACTGTATATATTATTTGGTGTTTCCTTTTTGTTCGACTTAATGAGGTGTTTACGAGAATGCTTTGATTTTTCTTTTCTGGGAGGGAGAGGACGTGGGGGGAATTCTGCATGGTTTCCCTCCCTAACTTTTGCAGTTTTTTGGAACCCAAAAATGTTGAGGAGCATAATGTTTGATATTTGGTAAAATGTGGTTCTTATATTCATTTTGTCCTTGACGTGGTGGAAGAGCCCCATGCTCATGAAGTGAAAGCTTGTGCTCGGTAGAAATCATTCAGTTGAAGAACAACTAAACACTTCTTTCCTTTACATCATTTCCTTTGAAGTAACTAGATCTGTTTTGCTAATTTTTGGACTTCAAAATTTATGGTAATTATGATGTCTACGTTTTTGAAGTCTACGTTCTGTCTTCCATATTATTATTATTATTTTTTTGGCGAGATTTGCGGCAACCAATACTGAATTCAATCATTGAACACTTTTTTGCCAGCATTCTCGTGTGAATTGTCGCTTGTCACAACCTATAGAATATACCGCCACTTCAATTCTCATATTAGTTTTTAATGGTCTAACATGTCTATCTCCGCAAACTGCTATGAAACTTATACTTGATGAAAATCGTTTATCCCACAGATCTTCATGCTGTCTGATGTTTTCTTTCCATTATGGTTTAACATCTTTTCTATTGATATCAGCCACCCCCTATCACGCCGCAAGACAACCAGTTACGTTTAGAAGACATAGACACAATCAAAGTGGTTGGAAAGGGAAGCAGCGGCATAGTGCAATTGGTGCAACACAAATGGACTAGTCAGTTTTTTGCATTAAAGGTATACTTGCTGGCTTCTGCATGTAACCTTGCTTAGAATTTCCATTGTCTGTTCTCTACATTTTGCCAGTTTTTGGTTATTTTGTTCTTTTTGTCTGGTGATCTTCTTCCAAGTATCATAATTGGCTTGCAAAGGTACTCTAATCTCATTCTTCATTACTTTTTCTATTCCCTCGGAAAGTTAAGGACTATGATATGTTCAGTCTGATTCAGTTAGTGTGATGTGTAAAACTTGTTTTCTCCATGCAATTTTAGCGCAATTTAAGAGCACATGCCTTAAGTTTGGAAAATCATGTTTGTCGTAACGGTGTACTTTTCATATAGAAAGTGTTTGTTTAGTTTATTGATAACTTGTTGCAATACATCATCATGCCTTTTATTAGAACATGGTCTTTATTTACTCAAGATCAAACCTTTTGATGCCACCACTGAACATGATTGAGGTGCAAACCCTTTTCCCTGGGGAGTTTCTCCATGTTAAACAACCATTCAATGGAATAAGTTTGGCCTATCATCACAGGACATCTATGACTTAAATGCGCATCCTCCTTTTTCAAGGAAAATGTCCTCATTCATTTCATGGTTATTAATTGGATGCATTTATTAGTTTTTGAAAGCAGAGCAACGAAGGAATAATGAATATCATATTGTTTCTTCTTTCTGTTCCTGACATTTATAACTAAAAATCTCTATTTACCCTTGTAGTTTAATCATCTAGTTTGTTAGCTTGAATGATTCCTTCCATATCACTATGTGGGTAAAATAATTATAAATCATAAACATGAACCCAGAACAGTATATCACAATCCATTCATAAATTAAATTATGGACACATCACCATAAAAGGTGTATGTGCCTCCAGATGTGAGGTTCTACTTCCTTCCCTTTCATTAGGGAATATTCTTAAGTACATTTTTTGCCCCGTCAAATGGTCCAAGAAGCCAGTAGAAATTTACCAAAGCGGGTGTATTAATTGACCTCACCATCTGAATTGCCATTTCACTGAGAGTTCAATGACTAATTGTACAGTCAGCTAGCACATTTTGTGTGTGTTTGTGTGTGTGTGTCTGAGAGTTATATATGTCTATGGATTTATAAAATCCAACACAGTATTCTCATATTGGTCCCTGATTTCAAGAATGTCTTCATGTTTTTGGATTTATTGACAATCTCAATCATATCATTTATATCCATTATTTTTATGATGTCTCCTCCATTTAGGTTATTCAAATGAATATTGAGGAGTCTATGCTCAAGCAGATAGCACAAGAGCTGAAAATTAATCAATCAGCTCAGTGTCCTTATGTTGTTGTCTGTTACCAGTCCTTCTACGAAAATAGTGTTATATCAATCATCTTAGAGTACATGGATGGAGGGTCTCTAGCAGATTTTCTGAAGAAAGTGAAAACAATTCCGGAGGCATACCTTGCTGCCATTTGCAAGCAGGTGAGGAGTAATGAAATTATATTTCGGTTTTACACCTTTAGTTATGTCACTGAATATCAAGGAGACGCTTTTTCTTCTTTGCCTCTTCAATGTAGGTGCTGAAGGGTCTAATATATCTTCACCATGAAAAGCATATTATTCACAGGGACTTAAAGCCTCATAATTTGTTGATAAATCACAGAGGGGAAGTAAAGATCACTGACTTTGGTGTCAGTGCAATCATGGAAAGTACATCTGGTCTTGCCAACACTTTCATTGGAACACAGATCTATATGTCTGTGAGTAAATTATTGATGTTTATGTGTCATTTTCCTCTGATCATCTTGGGGATACTGCTAGTTCCTCGGATATAACTTTGTTCTTTTTTGCTTGTTTGCAGCCTGAGAGAATCAATGGATCCCAGTGTGGCTACAACTACAGAAGTGACATATGGAGTTTGGGACTAATATTGCTTGAGTGTGCTACGGGGAGGTTTCCATTTACGCCACCTGATCAAGGAGACAGATGGGAAAATGTTTTCCAGCTTATTGAAGCTGTTGTTGAAGCTCCTCCTCCCTCTGCTTCACCTGATCAATTTTCTCCAGAGTTCTGTTCATTTATATCAGCATGGTAAATGTCTAGAATCTTGACTGTCCACAAATATGGAACCAGTAGAGAGGTTTTCTTTGGGGACGGGGGCAGGGGGAAGAACAAGGAAACACTTAAAAATCCTAGAAGCCTCTTAGCTGTCTTCTGAAATTAGATGGAATGCTTGATGAACCTTTAATTTTGAAGTAAAATAAGTGTGTATGTGTGTTTGTGGATACAGTCAAATATTTTATTTCACAGCAAACTATCATTGGTCTGTGATAGATGTGTGCTTTATCAATTGAAGATGGTTAATCATCATTTGACTTCAAAAGTTTTTAGAATACTCATCAATGTTTTATTGCCATTGACGAAATTGATGGTTTACAGAACTCAAGTCAGGGTTACATTGATGTTTTTTTTCCCTTATATATATTTGGAGTCAAAATGTGGTAAGGTTTTTTAAGGGATAAATTGATGGAACATGCATCTTTTCAGGACCAAATGGTAGTTTTCTTTTTAGTTTAAGCTGTCTTTCATGATTTACTGGAACTAGTCTCTATTCTTTTTAACATAATAAAACATGATGCCTTACCTTTTCATTGGCTTCTTTTTCATGAATTTTCTTTAACTGCGTGCATCTTCGGTTTCTGACTCTCCCTTTTCAATATCCTATCTGTTTAGTTTGCAGAAAGATCCAAAGAATAGATTGTCAGCTCAAGAACTTATGGTATGCGTAAATTTCATCTATATGAATATAACTTTACTAAAGAACATTTATAGTACTGTTCTTTATTCAATAGCCAATCTGAAATACAATCTAATTTGAAACACAGAGACTTCCATTTATCCGTATGTATGAGGATTTGGATGTAGATCTTTCAGCTTACTTCTCCAATGCTGGATCCCCCCTTGCTACTTTATAAAGCTTACTTGGTATGGTTTACTTTTAACCCTAAACTGCATTCAAACTTGATGCTAAATGCATATTCTTTCTTTCTTTAAGCATCACTTTAAATTGTAGGGTTGAATGCGGGGTCATTTTACAATTCTTATATCATACGGCCCCAACTTCATGTCTTGGGCTTGATCCCTCCCCCTCCCTAAATCATGCATTTCTATGGAAACTATAAAGATCCTGATTAGGAGCTAAAACATTATCTGATTGAATCCTAATTTTCAATTAAAAAAGCTGTTTTCTTGGAAGCTAGCTTTATTAGTTTGCTGGGGAGAAATAAACATTCTTTCTAGAGCCAATATCATCCATTTACTGTTTGGGTTTTGACAATTGGATCCTTTCTATCCATGCATTCGGTGAGATAGTGTGATGTTAAAAAATATGACTATATGTGGAACTCACATCCTTACCTTTGTCCGAATATATGATATGTATTTATTTTTGTGAATGTATATGATTTCAATTGATTAGTAGTGACTGGTTTCATGAAATATATATGATTGCTATCAAGGGGTGATCTAATATGTTCGAAACTTTTCCCGGCTAAATATTTCTGGATAATCCGAGTGCCCTTGGAAAATTGACATTGCTTAACACTGGAAGTCATTGCACTCTATGCTAACTATACTTTCAACATCTTTCTGTGTAGAATCACTGCGCATCTGCAGATTAGAGTCTTGAGAAATCAACTCCTAGGATTGGTTTATGAAAGAATCTCCATCTTATTGTGATTGATGTTCCAGAATTTGTTGAGAGATTCTTGTAGACGCAAGTGCCATGAGTTTTGCAATGATTGGCAATTCACGTAGACCCTCAATGCAGATGATTGAGTATTAGGGCACATTTTGAAGGCAAATTAATGGGATTATATGATTGTGATGAAAGGCATAAATAGTACTTGCGTTATGTACAGATTATATGGGTTACTGTGCAATGTTAGAAGATATGGAAAATTTTGTCAGGCGTATCAATTTACGTTGGAAGGTTTTGAAATTATTACGCTTTTGACATTACTTTTCCAGGTTCCCTTTGAGATTAATACAATGCTTGATAGGTAGAAAAAGATATTATAAAAAAAAGCAGAGAAATACTCCTATTCCATTTTCTTTCTAAATACATTTCCCATTTCTTTTCTAAAAAATGTTTTCCATGTACTAAACATGCTATAAGTGTCCCATCAAGTGACATTTGGGATGTTCTTTCTTTAATTTTGGGGTTGTCTTGGAAACGATCAAGCCTTCTTGATGAAGTGCAAAATGTATGTTTGATCATTTGGGCTGCTAATTGACTTTCATTATTAATGAGTGTTCTTTGAGGAAAGAAATAAATTTATTATTCTGATTTGGGCAGCTTCAAGAGAGATATCTTGTCTAAATATTATCCTTTCCCACTGCAAATATTTGAATACAATACATAGGTGGCTTAGCCCTGGTATAAAAATAAGGGGCTAAATATGCTACCAACTAATGTAGACAATGTTTCCAGAAAAAAAAAATAATAGAATAAACTGATTGTGAATAGATATGGATGTATGTCAAACACACTTGGATAGTTATATGAAAAGAACTCTCAAGAAGTTGAGTGTTTTTTGTTTCCATTATCAGACATACTTAGAGATTCTTATTCTACTTATTAATTGAGTGATGTTACTTTAAGTTCAACCTCCAGTCTTTCAGTTGGACTTGTATCTTTGCTCGGAGAATTTCATAAAGTCAGATGATATAATGCAAATTTTCTTAACAAAGATACAAATCCAAGAGTAAAATAATATTAATCTCTTGGAAGGTGACACTTTCAATAGCAACACCCTTTTTAATCGGTAACATGAGAATCTGTAGGCTCGTTTGGCACAAAATGGGAATAGGAAAGGAAAGGATAATAAGAAAGAGAAAGCTCTTTCCCATAAACATAGGAAGCTTTTTTTTCCCCCAACAAGAAATCCACTTTCTTATCTACTAAATACAACTAAAATGCTTTCTACCATCTCTTCCCTTTCCTCAGATCCCATTTTCATATATACCAAACGCAGCCTCAAAGTAAATCTAACAATGAAAATGCTCAACCTCTTTAAAAAAAAGGAACTCTCCATACCCACCTTTTTTAATGCAGGATCCATTTCTGACATGGTTTTATGTATTCATTATTAGTTTATTCTACCTAATCATCTTTTAACAGATGATAGGTAGGCATGCTATGGCTATGCCCTTGCCTTCAATTTTCTTTGTGCCTTCAAGTCCACCACAATAACAGATATGTTATCTTTGCTTCCCCTTTGAAGGGAAAGTCTGGATAGATACTCTGCAGCAAACTGAGCTGCAGGATCAATTCCATCTTCTCGTTCAGCAGACCCATTGTTGTTGCCATTGCCATACTTTTTGTGCCAAAGAAGGATTCTGTTTCTTGCAGCCTGGCAGGCTTCTTCATTTGTCATGACATCCCATAAACCATCACTGGCTACAATAAGGCACTCATCATTTTTCTCTCTAAGGACAAACTGTACTTCTGGTTCAGGTATTACCCATGGTTTCAAATATCTGTCACCTGGTGGGAGGGAAGGAATGTTAGACTATATCTAAATGATTTGAAATGAAAACCAATATGAATAAGGCACTTGGAATCTTTCAATAAAAATTGGCTATGTAATTGCTAGTCTATCCATTGAAGAGAAATTTCAATTCTCTGTTATGGAGGCCAATCGGCTGTTTTTCTTTCTTTATTTTTTTTTCAAAATATAGGAGCCAATATGCAAGGACTCTAATGTTAAAATATTTAGATTGAAAGACATTAAAAATCATAGTTATTTTTAAAGAATAAAGTTATCGTCAGAATTTTATGGGATTTACTGCAAAATTTTGGAAAAATTACTACCAAATTTTAAAAGAGTTACGATATCAAGTGATTTTATAGTAATTTCCTAGAACTTAAATTTTCTTAAAACTTCTGGTAAAACTTAATAGTAATTCTGGTCCTTACAAATAACTATAATTTTTAAAGTTTTTTAACCTAAATATTTTGCGAGTCTTTTTAACGATTATATTTATCCTAACAAAGGAAAAAAATTCTTAACTTAGTCTGTACTTCTTATAGGCAAAGAGTTACATTACTTACAAAAAAGAGTGCTTCTACATTACTGTACTAAATTTTAAATAAAATTTTCAGGAGACTGTAAATGCAAAAATCACATTGAAATAAGCATATCAAGGTGCTTTCCTGTCCCAAAAACCTTGGGTATTTGGGACAGGAGAATTATATGCACTCTATAAAATGTTGGACAGGAGAATTATATGCACTCTATAAAATGTTCCAAGAAAGAGAAAGCTTCCAAGGTTTTTGGGACAGGAGAATTATATGCACTCTATAAAATGTTCCAAGAAAGAGAAAGCTTCCAATACTAATGTGTTTCATTTTTAGATTTTGCCCTTGAACAAAAGGATGCATTGAACACTTGCAGGCACTAATGTTTCTTCCCCCACCCTAACTTTAGTAGACAAGCATGCAACAAAGTAGCAGATAAACCCTTTAATTCCCTTGATCTTTAATTTAATCCCTTAACCAAAGAAGTATTATACATGCGCCAAATACAATACAGGATACAAACGCAAACACTAAGAAGTGACAAAATTTGAAACGATCATGTATGATTTAAAAACTTTTGTGCTGTCTATGCTCCATAATTCCTTAAGAGAAAATTACATCTAAGAACCTGGGTCCTAAGAAATTTAGGTTAAGAGTTTTCAATTTATTATTATTATTTTTTCAAATCAAAGTTTCTATCAAGTTTTACAAGACTTACTGTTATGTTTCTAAGAAGATATTTGCCAAATTTTATGGAAGTTACAAGTGATTTTCTCAACACTTGATAATAATTCTTATTCTAACATCTGGGTCGTGACATGTAATCCCCCCCCCCCGGGGAATAACAACAATTTTGCATGAATATGCAACCACATGATATCAAATAGAAAGAATAACAAGCATGTAGTTGTAAAGATTCTCATGCGTTAAACTGGATAATCAAAACCCAAGACTTCAAAACGATGCCACAAAAGCATACCTATGGACCTTGACACAGCCAAAACCCCAAGAACTCTGTATCCATTCCATTGTATGACCCTTCCTCCTGCATCTTCTATTCTTGCCCACTCATCCTCCCTGTTTGGCTGCAAACCATATAAAAGGGAAATAAATTAGACATCATCAGCTTTCAGTGCAAGTCCTACAAACAATTCTCCCAATTTCTTAAGAAATTGACACGTTTAGAAAGGCAGAATGTGTATGGAAGGAATTTTTCACCACTCCATTATGTGTTATACAGATTGTATCTCTGTGAAATTCCTAATTAGATCTTTTCCATTCATGTATTCATGCAATTGAAGAGAGAGTGACACGGGGAATTTAGTTGTGCATAGGATACATATCTCATAATTACATTCGATCATTCTTTGAATGCACTACCTTTCCATTCAAGTATTCATGCATTTGAAGAGAGAATGGTATGAGAGAATATGCTTGTGCATGGGATCCATATCTCATAGTTACACTTATGCACTCTCTTCTCTCTATCTTTCTTGGAATGCGTTATCTATATCATTTTTGTGAATATAGAGGATCCAAACTGGACCACGTCTTTCTCAGTGAAATTCACATTGTTAATTTCTTTACTCATTGTAAAAGTAGAAAGCGGTGCTCTACTTTGTGGTCAGTAGACAATGGAATGGCTTCTTTTCCGCGACACAAGACCGCTCTTGAATCCCCACAATTTGCTACCATTATGTGGGTTTGACTCAAAATGGCAACCACAGCAGTAGAGCCAACAGTTTCAGGAGCAAGAGGTTCAAAACTAGACTCAGATCCATGGCTGTTGTCTTCATTACTAGCTGCACCTTTTCCATCAACCTCATCATCAACTCTCTGAAAACACTTGGAGAATGCTTTCCTCCAGTGGTCCTGCCAGTTGTCTCCTGCATTCTTTTCTCCCAAGCTTGTTCCTGCAGCCTCTATCTCCTCAATCAACACCGAATGAAGTCGTTCCCGGCAGTAATTAGCAACCTGTGAATAGAAGAATTCCCTCTCAATACAACTTAAAAAAAAAATTGAGTAAAATTATATTAATATGCAATTAGCATGGACCTAGCCCATGTTTATCCATTACTCAACCTCTAATGATGATCCTAAATCAGGTTTTGTTTAGCCTACTCATGTCCAATACATGGAAATCTATTAGACTTTGACTCAACTGGATTTGGGTCTGATGGAACCCTCTATTCTAATAAGCTTTAAACAAGCATAAACCAGAAACTACAACACAAATGGGGACTGAAAATTACTATTACCCAATAGCGAAGTTGGATTACAGCGAAATAAGGAACTGAAAATTATAGCGTACTGAAACAGAAACAGCACAAAAATACACCACCAAACAACATTCACAAAATATAAGTCACTCACTTACAAACATACACTAAGCAGAAGACAAAATGATGAAGAAAGATGACTTCCTCCACCCCCAACCTGGCATTCGAGAGGCCAAAGCTCTCTTCACCACTCTCAATGTTCCAAATAATCCACACCCTCTCTCTAGGCAAGGATGAAGATTTAAAGACCCAAAAAGTGACTCTAACACAACCCTTACCCCTAGAAGTCTAACACATCACTAGGGACCTAACACATCACTAGACCATCAATTACTTTTCCTTATAACCAGCATCCAGAGGGCAAACATCTGAACTAACAATAATGTTATCTTCTAAGCTCATTGCCTTCATTGATTTCCTCTTATAGGTCTTAGTAAAATCATGAGCTCTATCAGGGTCAAAGTAAATATATTATGGAGATACATGCAGAGAAGAAGATAAGAGTTATTCCATTCTTGTGTCGTTTTCTTTCTTAAATGCAAGGTATATTATTCTAAAGATCTCAATTCCTTAAACCCAGTCAATCTAGGCTTCTATATTCTTTTTTTCAATCTGAAAAGAATACCCTCAGTTAAATGAAATAACTCCCGCAAGCCATACTTTTGGTATTACTAAAGAAAAAGGTGATATTAAGGCATACCTGGCAGCCCCCGTGGCCATCATAGACACCAAAAAAGCGGGCTTCTGAGTATTTTGGGTTTTCAGTCACATGGTTTTCCGTTAGCATCTGTGAAGGGACTTGCAAGAGTTGAGGTTCTACTGCAATAGCATCTTCCATCTCCTCTCTCCTTCCACAGATTGATGAAAAACCCCAAAGGGCTCCACTACTCCATTCCAATCCATTCTTGTAGCTCCTTCTGCATATTTTCTCCCCTGACATCGCAAGAAGTGAATCTGATGGTTTAGAATCACATCCATCTGATCTGCTGCCATCATGAATTTCAATATCCATTTCAACTGAGACCATTTTCAGCACTGGCTTTAGTACTATATCATCTTCAACCTTGATGGTACTAACTGGAGAATCAATCTCAGAACAATTAGTCCTCAAAGTTGAAGATCGTTCCCCAGCAAGAGATTGAGAGCTTGAATCATTTGGACGTTGAAAGTCAACTTTTAACATGAAATCATCTTCCTTGCTTTTCTGACTGTGGGTTTCATTCCCAACCCAATCTCTCTCACATCCAATAGGCACATCTGAAACAAGGGCATCGCCAACATGATTATCCTCTTCTGCAGCTTCAATAGTCTGATGCTGTGAACTTAAACCCCTTTGATTTTCACTATCATCCATTGCAGGATTCAAAATCAAAGCTGCTGTATTGGTCATAAGCTTCAACCCAGCTATCTCCATGTGGGTTGTTGTTACTGATGAATCCTGCGTCAACTTCCCAAGTGTAAATGGCACTGCAACAGCAGAAGATATTTCCTCCATAGTCTTCTTGCTTTGCCTTGTAGCAATAGCTTTTATCCTTTCAATCTCTCTAAGATTCTATATAAGCTGCCAGCCTTTACCTACTTTTTCCCTATCCTTTTTCTTAAGCCTCTTTTATAGAACATATGTTCATTCCGACAAAGAAACAAACACCTAGAAGGCAAAAAAAATATGGGAGGAGCTAATAACCGGAACCCATTTAAAATTTCGCCATTTTATCATCAACGTTCAAAAATTATTATTGACACAGTGAAGCTAGATGCTAGAAATACAAAAGCCCTCTAGATTTCTGTTTTGAATTCCAACCAGCCAAACAGTGCAGAACAAGTGAATCTCCCAAAATATGAAACTTCTACCTCCTCACCAAACCTTTGATTTCTAAAATGGCAAAGGCAAGAGATGACTCGAGCTTAATCATGAAAAAAGAAAAAAACAAAGGTTGAAAAACGCAAATGGGATCATTGAGGAAGAAAATTTGTATAAGAAACCAGCAAAAGAGTAAAAACAAGAAGAAAAGTTCCCTACATGTGAGGCAACCAACATCAACCATTGAAAACTTCCATTAGGTTTCTCCATTTAGTTACTTCCATGTGTCAACTTGAAGTGAGGTCACCACCCTTTTTGATAAGGACCTTTTGAGATTAAAAGATTTTTTTTTTTTCTTTTTTGCTTTTTTTAATGGAGAAGTTGGTCTGATAAATTGTTTATTCTTGATTTTTAGAAGTCTATAAGAGTGAATCTTTACATAAAATTTTATAAGCTCTTATCATGCACGTAAATCTCAAGAATATTTTAATAATAACAAAGAAAAGATCAAACTTTGGCATAACGAAATCATCGAAACAAATAATAATATTATTGTTCTTGTCAACTTCCACCGCCCACAGGCCAGTTAGGCTAATTAAGCCTAAAATATTTTTAATTCAAAGAAATTAATATTTCAAGGTAATCGTTTTGGTAACAGTAAGATCCTGATCCATTGTCTTGAGCTTGAGCTGTATGACTTATTAATAAAATAGACGAGTTAGAAACTGTTATTTATGACCTTTCTTTTTTCAGTTATACAATATAAAATGGTACAATAGCATTTCAAAATAAGTGTAGGGAAAAGATTAAAGGAGAATACTTGATTTAAGTTTATATAAAAATTATAATGATCATTTATAAACTATAAATAATACAATTTACCTCAAATTTTATGATACGTGAAAAATTTATTTTTCCTTTGTTATTAATTTAATTCCTTCAAATAGTCTTAAAAGAATGACAAAAAAAAAAAAGATGCATAAAGATGGAAGACTTGCTACAAATTTTAAAAACTAAATCAATAATTGAAATAATGTTGGGGGAACACAAATTTTATTATTGCAAAAATTGTTAAATGAAATAGAGCCAGGACAGTTGGCGCGAATGACAACCACCTTTTGGGATTGGTGTTAATCAATCACTGTTTTAATCGCCACGTGTCCTCTTAAACAGATCTACCCACCGACCATATCTTGCCTCTCTTACTCAATAACACAATTTGTACCAATCCTGATCGGCTTATTTCCATTCCAATCATGTTCAAATGTGTTTTTCTCAACTTGAAAAAAAAATCAAGATGAAATTTCGTGGGATGAGAGAAAAAAGAATTCAGAACGAAATGAGATTGGAGATCACCCTCAGAACATCCTATTTAACACACACACACACATATATGTATATGTATATTATATGTATTAATTATTATGTTATGATTTATTTGTTGTTTTTTTGTGTTTATATATTATTTAATTGACTTCCTTTTAATACCTATGTACGTATATCTCATCTATCAATCTCATTCACAATTGTGAATACCATTTTTAATTTTTTCATTTCAATTCTCAAGTCTCAACCCAAACTTTTTCTCTAAATCTCAATGTCATCTCAAACATTATTTTTACTTATATATTCATGTTTTTTTTTAATTTAGGCTAAGCAAGTTATATAATTTGATATTTTAATAAATCTTATTATTCAGGTCTTTCTTCTACATCCGTTTTACCAAGATATCCTAATCTCATCCTAATTTCTAACGGAATGAGATGAATTTTGGAATGAAATAGAACACAAGATGAAAGTTTAATCTTAATCATATTTCAAAATGAGTCATTGGACATGAATGTCTCAATCCTATCTTGTAAACACCCCTATCTATTATGAATTTATGATTATGATTATGGTTACATTTTTTTTGGGAGAACCGCCCCTCTTATTTTTTGGTGAAAAATCGTAGTATTGAAAATTGGGTCAATTTAATCATTGATCAATAAATCATTAAACCATTATTTTAATAAATTTAATAAGATATTTTATTTATAATTAATTTGAGCACCTGCTGTTAGTGGTAGAGCTTTCACCCGAAAAGGTCTTAACACGGCTTAATCCAACTTAGCCAAAGCCATTGGCTTTTGAGTACTGAAACTAAGGAGATATAGTTAAATTATTAACTTTATTTAAAAATAAAACAAACTTTTAATTTTACCCCAAAAAAGATTTAAATTTGCATTGGATTCTTTTTCATAGTTAACGAATTTAAGTAGGAACAATAATGAAAAAAATGAAATTAATACCCCATAATGTCTTATTAATGACTAGAAAAATGTTGTATAAGAGGGGCAGGAGGGTGCACTTAACAAGATATTGACACAATATAATAACTTTGAATAATTTTTTCTTTTAAATCATTGCATATCCAAGTTCTTTCAAGGAATAGACTACAATTATAATAATAAATTTTTAGATCCTAAAGATCAAATTACAAATGAAATAACTTCATTTTCATAGTTATTTTTTAAAGAATTGAGTCTAGATTTAAAAAAATTCATTTAACAATATCATTTGCAGGGTATCTCACAACGGTAAAACTGTCCTCATCATGTTGACTTTAAACAAACAACATCCAGAAACAAGTTGAATCATATAACAATTAAAAAATAAAAAAAAATTCTCTTAAAACTTTCAATCATCCATAAATAATCCCTAAATTTCAAAAATCAACAACTATGTTCTTAAACTTTCATAATCTACCAAATGAGTCATAGTTTCCCCAAGAAAAATTAATTCATTTGTTACTTCAAATTAAATCCGCTCATAAACCAAGTAGATTTCTGCAGGAACATAAATGAAATTTACAAAACAACATGATCAAAATAAAAGCATATTCAGTCAGGACGCAGTAAATATTGCAGCCAATTGTATGACAAATCATAGAACACGTTTGACCAGTACTAGAAGCAATATTTTTTTTTTTTTCAAATTTTCCTTACGGCCCATGTTTTATGACTCGTCAAATTAGAGACAATGGATGAAAAAATGAACCAGTGATACATTTCCGCACATCTCAAAGGAGAAATCAAATTAAATAAAGGAAATTACAATTATAAAAGAAATTAACAAGGGGAAAATGTCATGGCTAAATACGTTGGATCATTCAAGACTTAGTAAAAAGCCTCATTGTATTCTATCAACAATCAAATTTTCGGGTGCATTGTTAACAAAAAAATCTCATTCATAACCAAGCCTTTGTACAACAATTAGTCAATTCTATTTTCCAGACAAACTTTTTCATTAAACAATGTTCAAAGAATCAAAGGCTCAACATGAGCATTCCAAAGTATTGTTAGATAATAGCAGTAGTTCATTGGTCTGCAAAAACCTATTGTAATGCTCAGGGAATTCATGCACTTGAAAAGATATTACACTATCAGAAATGCTCGATAGAAAGTATTGAGGTTCAGGTAATTCAGGTAACATGCCAAAGCTACCGAAATGAAAACCAGAAACCTGGTCATTTGTCCATTTCACAAGCCACATCAGCTTGAAAGCAAGTTGTTCCGTAAAATCCCTGGATTTTGGCCAAAAATACAGATCCACATACCTCGTACTGAAATTTCACTGTACAGTCTCACACACACACTCACTCCAACGAGTTGTAAAACCATTCAAAAATTACTTCATTAGTTTGAGCAATGACTTGATTAATATTTCCAAAATCCTAAAACTTACCCAACAATGCAGTTTTTTCAAATATGAACAGGCACAGTATGGAAGATTCTTTTTTGATCACGGTATGGAAGATTAACTTGCAGCCAAATGTAAAGGCAAATGACACCATCAGAAATTTGACCTTGATCATTGTCAATGATGAGGATCAGCTTGCAGGCAAGATGCAGCTATCATTTCAAATATGTCTACCATTAATTTATGCAATTCTTTCAATAGAAAGCTTTCTTACGTTCAAAAACCATCAATAAACAACAGCTCGTACTTGAGGCATACCTAAAATTTCCAGAGTCAGGTGCTGAGCGATGATGATGAAAAGCCGTCATATCGAACTACTCCATGGGTTAACTTATCTTTTTAATTCATGACAAGCTATGCAAGCAGTGGACAGATCATTTGATGGGACCGCGGCTTTGAAACATAAAACCTCAAACAGTAAATAGTACTGATAATCTATAAAACAACCGACCAATCTTGAATTCCACCAAGTTTCCATAAAGAGTAAAACCAATTTTGAGAATATATATATATATAATAGAAGGCATGCTTGACAGCTTGAGGAAGGAAATCAATCATACAAGGTACATTTTCCACAGGACTTCTACCACAAAATTATAGCAGTCGGTCACCCTAGGACATATATATATATATAACTCTAAGGAAAAAGATGACCAACAAAAAACCTCTAAGGAAAAAGAGATATAGGAGTAAGAAAGACCTGCAATGATTCAAAGGTTACCCCCATTTATGAAAGAAATCTGCAATCTCAATAATTTGCAAAGAAAGATTTTGATGCATATTAAATTTCTCAGACCTTGTAAAATCATTGGAGATTTGTCCCCAACAAGATGTTCCTGCAATCGACAGACACCATAATTCGTCCAATGGATGAATATCTGAAGTCAAAATGAATAAGAAGGATAATAAATGTTCCTGCAACCAGGTATGACCTTTTCTGTACAGATTAGTACAAGATCATATTGTAATTCCAATTCACTTCAAATGGTTCTGCCACATCAGATTTAGAGACAGCTGGAATTTGTTACATGCATCTGTAGCAGCATAAACAAGGCAGCAGATTGACATAGTGTGAAGAGCTTATCTGACAAAAATATAGATCATTCCTCAGCCTCTAAAGCAAATCTGGATAAAGATCTAGACGTGACTGCTGCAGTGAGCTGCTTGAACTGTGAGGGACACTTTCTGCAAAAACACAAAATACTTTTTTTCTGGGGGCTTCTGTTTTTTTCTTTCTTTTCTTTTCTTTTTTTTTTTTGGGGGGGGGGGAGGGGATAAACACAGCAACTAGCCAGGTTTTATTTCAGCAAATGAAAAGATGATTTTATTAGAAATATTAAATGTATGTACAAGAGGCCTTGTTCTCTGATTTGTAAGAGCTACAAACAGAACAGTGTTTGCTAGGATATAATCACTAGGGATACTAACTTGTACTTTGAACAAAAAGATCTTTACAGTGGAAGTCACAAACTTTAACACGAGCAAAATCTGAAACAGCTGGAAAAGTCACTCAAGCAGCTTGGGAGGAGTCTTCTACCAAAGAATCTATATAACCTAATTGTGGACAGGATAGCCATAAGACCATCCCATGTAACTAGTCGTTTCTTAAAATTACTTTGTTTCCTTTGTCATTTGGTATAATGAACAGGACTATACAGAGAGAACAGCTTCAAACCCTTATATTCAAGTCTGCAAGGTCATCCATTGGAATTTCAAGTCCCACAAAATCCTCATCTTGCAATGCCTCATCATCAATATTAAACCATGAACTAAGATCCTCCTGACCTTGGCCACCAAGATCATCACCAAGTACATCCATTCCAGGCAACTGGAGGTGGGACAAATCAATTGGCTCAGGATCATCCAATACGCCCATGCCATATTCATCTTTTTTCTTGGCATTTCTATCTGATGTGTCATTCAACTTTGAAACAGAAGGCAATGATGGTTGTGATTGCTCTGATAGCTTGCCAACAAGACCATTGACAGAAACAGAATGCGGAGTTGCTTTCTGTTTGGGCTTTGTTTTAGATTTCCTTTCTCCCTTAGCACAGGATAGTGCTGGTCTGCCAACTTTGGTAGATCCATTTCGTACGTCTCTGCTGTGCCCCTTTCCATCTCTCTCTCTTTCACTCCTCTTTCCTTTTGCACTGATCGATAGAGAATTTCCAATGCCTGATGGAGCACTTGATGTAACCGTACTACCACCAACATCATCAAGTGGCAGTTCCCTCTTCTTCACCCTGTTTGACCACAGATCTTCCTTCCCACTTGTTTGATCAGATGTAGGAAGTACATCTGATGAATTGAAATCATGATTATCCATATTCTGACTAAATTGTGAAGGGCTCTGCTGTGAACCCATTGAAGCTGCAGAAAGAGAAGGAAGTTAGAATAAAATACAGACCAACAACACAGGCCAAAAAGGAAACTAGATATGACACAACAAACAGGACAAAAATAGCGTGTAAAACTAAAGCTATTTGAGCAGGCAGCCTAAAATGATCATATCAGAGAAACAAAATTTCCTAGAGAATTCAATACAAAAGACAATGAAGAAGACACCTGTTCTTGCTTCCAGAGAAAGGGAAGGATACTGTCTTGAGAGTTCACCCTCCCTGCCATCAACTTGAACAGTACTAAGCTGTGAAGATGAAGCAAGGTACATATCCATGAATAAAGACTCGCTAAAGCAGCTTTTGCCTGTATCCTCAAATTGATGGCATCGATCCAATGTTCGTTTAACAAATGCCAAAGCTTGCTTGGCCATTTTGTTACTTGAACTTTTCCCACTTGAGGAACCAGGACCCCGGCAAGCCTGCAAAACAAAAATGTCAATTCACTCAGCCATAAGACCTAATTTCAACATGCAGAGAACATTGAATGTCAGGAGCATTACCATGTACTTCTCATAAGCCATGACAAGAAGTTTGTCTAGAGCATTCTGCTCAAATTCCCTGTTATACAAAATATTATCTTTCCATTCAGAACAAGCCACAAACGTTAAATCAAATAATCAACATATAATTGGCTGTGCAATTACTTCTTTTGAAGTTCTTTTGTCATTGAGGCAGACTTCATTAATCTGTCCATCAAGCCTTTCTTCTTGGACACCTATAATATAAGAATGAAACTAAATGATTTGCATAAAAACAAAATTGACTTCATTGAATTTGGAATATTAATTAATCAATTATCTCCAATTCTACACCTGATTTATGTATTTAAGTAATGTTGGGAAGAAATACATAATATCCACTTGTGAAAAATTAAATGACACGTCACAATTACCCAAAAAAGGACAGTTAGCACAGTAAAACTTGGCTGCAGCATCAGTTAGTACCTGTCCTTGGTAATTCTCCTCTAACCTAGCAATGTCCCCACAAATTCCTTCATCATCTTTTTGCAACATGTCAGGCTTGAAAGAGAAAAGGAAATGAATGTCATAAAATAACAATGATTATAAAGAATAAATAAACAGACTAACAGACTTCTGACAGAAATAAAGAGCAAACCAGAACCCCATAGTTTAGCGGAATCTGATGTATAATATAGTAATTATCGACAGGATCATATGACAGAACACTGAAAAGAGAAACAGATGAGTCAATAGGAAAGTAAGTTTACCAGTGGTTCTGGGAAAATCCCAATGCTTTGAAGCTCTAAAAGAACCTTTTCATTCATATCAAGGCTGTCATACTGCAATTCTGAACAGATCAAACTGGGAAATAAAGCTTTGTCTTGAAGTGAACCATTTGTAGAATTGCCCAAGTTTGCATTCAACCCGGACATTGGAATAGTAGCCATATCGCATTCAGTCTCATCATATTCTAGCTTTCCAGTTTTCGTATGACCGTTATAAGCAGAATGGCATGAAAACTTAGTATCTACCCTCAAGTGGTGATCCAAACTGCCCAGTTCCAACTCCCCATCTGGCTCATATTCAGTTTCATAAGCATCAAAACTGAAATCTTCACTTCCACTGCCAAAATCCTCCTCTGAGATAAGAGCAGCCATAACCCTTTGACAGAGGGGTATTACATTATGATCTACTTTAGAAAGGTGTGATTGTTCCGGAACAACTCCAGCATTACTTGGAATGCCAAATCCAACATCTCTTTCACCATCAATCAATGCAAAACCATTAACTGCTTCAAAACCATCAACATTTGAAGAAACTGGTGTTGGCACTGGTGCACTAGATTCAAGTTTCTCCTGAGGAACGAATTAAGTATTAAAATTAAAAATTAAAAAAAAGAAAGCAGATAGTTCTTATGGTGAGTTTCTCTCAAAATTTGACTTTTTAGACCAATTCAACCATGCTTTAATCATCTGTAGAAGAAAAAATAATTTATAAATATTAAACGAGAAAAACATTTTTTGTGGAACATCAGTGTTGCTGTGCTGCATTTGAGTCCCATGGAATAACGGATGCCTTCAGTATGGTTTAACATTTACATTAGTTTAAATTGTGTATTTTGTTTCAGTAATTTTACTACAGCAATTGGTGCTTTAGGCTGATTAAGACTAGATTCGCTTTTAGTTTGAAAGTCCATGCTTGCGTGGAAAAAGACTTGCCAAACTGTGTGGCTCATGTTTCCATTCCATACGTCACTCTTTTTCTTTAATAAAGAATAAGAAAACAGACAGGAAATTATATCCAAATGCGACTATGATTTTGTTCAATTTTTATCACAAACTACTATAGAACATGTTTAAAAATAAGCAGAATATATCATCAAAGTAAATAATGGCCATGCATACAGCGTCAGAATATAAGATCTTGTTTTTTTTTTTTAAACCAATGAAACAAAGAAATCTAATGTAGGGAAAAGGGGGGGAAAGGTCAACCAAAGATCAAGGAAATTTCTTATTTTGAATCACAAACAGAGAGCAGCCAAAAACATAATAATAATAAGAGATCTGCAAAGTTGCTTTCAATCATCAGCAGAATAAACAATCATTTAGAGCTATAATAGTTGTGATTACATCACATCATCCAATTGAATTAAAAAGAGATTTAAGATAAAATAAACCTATCACAGCGGGGAAGGAATCAGATATCATCTTCCTCTTCAATAAAAACTGGTGCATAAAATAGTTGATCGTTAAAATCATGTCATTGCAAATTTCAGAACGCAGCTCAATTATACTCTTCCTTACATTCAAAAGCCCATGGCTTACTTATGTGTGACAAGGACCACACTGAACACATACCACAAATTTTGTAAAGAATGATAGCAATAGCAACAGCTTCATCATTCATAATCATTCAAGGAATGCAGAAGTCAGTACCTTTTGCTTCCAATAATTGATATCTTCGTCAGATATCCAACCAAAGAAAGGCTCCATCTGCTTCCAGAATGGGCTTGAAAAGGCACAAGCTGCGCAAAAACAAAATCCAAAACTATTCCATCGGAGAAAACACTTTAAGCTATCGAATAAAGATGATATTCTATTAACATCCATACCAGAGTTAATAACACCATTTGCAGCAGCCAATAGTTCTTCATGCCCATCATCTGATCCAACTAAAACAATGAAAGAAAAAGTCAACTGTGAAATAGAAGCATTATATTTAAGAGGTTCACAAGAATTCATTCAGAAGAGCTTTCACTAGTACCAAGAAAATCTGCTGCTGCATTAATAGCAACATGCTTTTGACGTGTATATGCCTTACGATCTGAAAGTTTCCTGGTTGGGGGACGGCCCGCCTTGCTGCATAATTTTTTATTAAAAAAAAGGCTTGTAAGACTTTAATCCGCATGTTCAGATAAATTCCAAAAAAAAGACACAAAATCAGATATTTGTCAAATTAGCAAACAAGTTTACATTTACAGATAATAACGTAGGAAGCTTCTAACCTTTCACTCTTCTCAAAGCCTAGTCTTGCACTTCGAAGTTGCTTTGCTGTCCCCACATTTCCAAGCTTTTCAGATGTAATAGGCATCAGAGATCCTGTGGAAGTAAAACCCCTCCCTGTCCTCCCGTGCCTCCGAACACCATCCCCCTGTTCTTCCCCAGAAACAAGCTTGTTCTTTCTTGTTGACAGGACCAAGTTAGGAAACTTTTGAACACTTTGTCCAGCTTTTTGATCGATTTCATCAGATTTCCTGCCTTTATCTTTTGATTTGATCTCAGCTACCCCAGACTCTTCACTTTCAGATAAGGCAGTAGCTGAAGATAAAGGATCACCTTTTAATTTAATTTGCTGAGAAGAACTGCCAGCTAACCGCCTGGCAAATCCCAACCCAAGGTCATTACCAGCCACATCAGATACAGCATCCAAAGCAGGAGAATCGTCATTACTAGAAACAATGGGACGTCTGGCGGTGCGTGAGTTCTTTTGTGGCCTCTGTGCAGCCCAGTGGGCCACAGGAGGAGAAGATGACCGTGCTGATGCCACACGTTTGCGATTGCTCATGCCAACACCAGCAGGGGGCTTGGTGGTACAATGTGACAGCTCCCAATCATTGGATACAGCTGCTTTAGGGACAACTGAAGACAGCTTGGGGGCAACCCCTGATCCTGATCGTGGAGCCCGAATAGAAGTGTGCATTTTAGGATTTGAGGTGGGGCTAGCTGAATTAAATTCATCACGAACAGATGACCTAGGCATTGCATAGAATGTAGAAATTAATTAATAACAGAATATATCAATAAGATCATTAGGTGCTTTTCAAGGTTCACATATGGAAACAGAGAAAGGAACAACTACACAAAAACAAGAAAATGTAGAAAGCATTGATCAAGGAAAAAGTGTTACATATTTTGCACTTACTTGTTAACAGCTCTGAAGTTCACCCTTTCTTTGTCAGAATTAATAGGGCGATCCCGCCTATCACTAATGAGGGAACTATTGTCTTGGTCATTTCTAGGAGTAGAGGCACGTACACCCAGCCCAGTCTGTTGAGAGGTGCCATCTGATTTTCCAGCTCCTACAGTTCCATTTGACACTGCCGACCTATACAAAGCCACACAAATATATTATAATCCCAGCCTTGATCATAGAGAAATGGTAACTGGAATCGAGACACCCTAATAACATGATATCTTTCACTGAGGAGTCCAAAGTTATGATCGTCAAATTTAGATGTAACCTAGCAAATGTCCCCAGAACAATATTTGCTTTTCACAGTATTTGACAAGAAGCTTTTCACCTTTTATATTACAAGCAGGAAACTCCTTAGTAACCTTTATATTATTTCATTCATTGTCTTCCATAATTGGATTCTAACCATTAGAGGCAGAAAATTCAACCAATCACTAATCACAATAGTAGTAGAAGAATCTTGTACCTATCCTTGTACAGAACAGGAAAATCTTAAAATCTCTAGTACTTCCTTGATTTGGCCTTACTTTTATCCAGCATTGGCTTAACATTGTACCAGTGACAGTTTTAAATCACACTGGAAAATGGTGCAATCTTGAATTCCTATTAGCAAAATACAATAGAAATTCACAGAAAAGGCATATTTGGTGAATGACTAGGGTATTGATTCATTGACTTATCAGCTTGTTAACTACTTTATATATGGTGGCATCGAAAGTGATATGAGATACTTCAATTTCCATGTGAGTGTAACTGCGTATGATACCAAAAAAATCAAACAAGAGTCAACAGTCATTTGCCAAAATGCAACTCCTGCATATCCTTGAACATATGATCACATGAAAACATCACCAGCAAAATCCAGCTATTTTATTACAAGTCATAAAATGATACAAGGAAAACAAAGGTAAAAATCAAAAACTAGCACAACTTCAATAGGAATCATACCATAATATCACACATAAATGCATGCATGCACACAAATGTATATGTATTATAGGTATATAGTATCACACACATAAATTTCTCACCCTAGAGTGTGGGGATCACAACTTACATTTAATTTCTAATAAATATCATAAATCAAAATTTAAACCATCAAAGACTTCAAGAATACAACCTCTTATATTGTCCTACCTCTATTCATAAGGAATAAAATAAACACAATAGGTTAATATGAATATGATACAAAAGTGCTCATCAAAATAATATCATACTAATTAGTAAGGAAAAAATACATATATTCAACACATTCATACCTAAAAGAATGGGAATCGTTACTCAATTTAGACCGAGTATCAGTAACAAGTCGCTGTTGTATTCCCTGTTTAGACTCCTGGAAGGCATCAATAGGTTTAGTCAATGCTGCACTAGGAGAACCATCAGGTTTAATGCAGGAACGCTTTTTCTTCATCCTTGACTTTTCCCAGCCATCTCCTCCAAGAGGAAGAGTTCGTTCCTCACCCTGAACAGAACTGTTACTAGCAAGCCGTAGCAATTCCTTGTCTCTATCTACAGTCCCAGATGGCCTGATGAGTGAATTAGTCCGCACATCCATCTACATTTAAAAAAGGAAAAAAGAAAAAGTTTATGTTTTCCTCCACAGGCCCCAAGCTCACTGAATTAATCCGAGAGATGATAGGTGATATAAAGAAAACTACAAACAGTTATCATTAGATCATGAAGACTGAAAAGCATAATCTTCAATTTATTGCTGTTTTCATCACAGCAATGAGAAAGGAATAACAGAAATTTATAGTTCATGAAACACGTGGTATCACAAAGTTTGAAAAGCATAATCTTCAATTTACTGCTGATTTCATCACAACAGAGAGAAAGGCATAATAGAAATTTAAAGTTCACAAAACAATGCACATATGCTTAAGAGTGGCGTGCAAAATTTAATAACTGTGTTCATACTATAGAAATAGATGAACAATTAGATATAAAAGGCTACATCCCAACCACAAAAGCAGGGAAAGGTTCTAACACACAACTCTCACAAAGGAAAATACTGTAAAACAGAGATATGGAGAGCAGTATAGAAGAAGCACGGCTTCAAATATGCTAGCAGGATGTGTATATTACTTGTAAGTTACAATGATGTGGTATTTGCTTGAAACAGTAAGAAACTAGAGAAGCAGAAATATCAGGCATTAATATGCATGAAATTATAGGTTTGGGAAGCTAGCAAACATGCAACTGCAAAAATCCAAGATACTTACCCTTACATCAACCAAAGAAGTTCGAGTGCGCTTGTTTGGAACAAGATTCTTCATCCGCTCTTCTGTCTTTTGCTGCTCAAGTTCATAACCACCAGTGACAGCATGACCTTGAACTCCAGCCTTACCTCCGCTTGGTCCCAAGACCGATCGATCACTTAACATGACGCTAGAACGATCATTTGAAAAGCATTCTGATCGAGATCTCTTCTTTGAAGGAATACTTGGGAAAAGTTTGTTGAATACAGATAAGGCTTCACTAAAGGTTTTTCCACGTTGCCTGTCAAAAACAAAATGTTATTAAACAGCTTTATTTTACTGCGAGCTTGTACATAGCAAAAATAACAATAAAAAATAAGCTACCTAGCCTTCACCAAGCTATCACATAATCCAGTCTTTACTCGTCTTATTTCTTCTGGCACTGGGGTGGCCACTAGTTTGCCTTTGGCAGAACTAGGTGAAGATTCCTCAGGTGGAAGCCCAAGAGCAACGTTCACATGTCGTTTGAGATCCACTTGACGAAGAGACTTATGCTCTGCAGCTACCAACTTTGGATCAAATCGCAAATGTTTAAAGAAGTTTGTCACATCCCCTTGTGTCACTGAAGAACTGCTTCGTGACATGTTAGGCAGAGATGATAGAATTGGATTTTCCATGCTTTCACGAAAGCTACCTGATCTATCCAGTGAAGCAGCTACCTGGGATCCACGCTGCCCAGTGTACAACGGTCGATCAGGACTACTAGAAGATACATCAAACTTACTAGATGTTGCCATTGCACTAGTTTCCACACATCCTTTGTGACAAGAAACCAAACCAAAGAGTGGTGCATGTCAAAGATATAGCAATATGGCACATAAAGTGCAAATCTAATTTGCAGAACTATCGAACCACGCACCTGAAAGGATCAAATCCATACCATAAACTGAAATTAAAGTGAGGCATAGAAAAATAATTCTTTCAAATTTAAAGAGAAAATGGATTTTTAAGACAGCATAGAAGAATTATCCGGATTGTTCAAGTAAAAATGATATTTTAAGTCCCATCCTCTCATATAAGAAAAGGCATGATATAATCAGTATGCACGCTAATTACACCACAGGAAAAGATTATGAAAACAATCAGAGAATACACTAAAATATAAATACTTAGAGGTGTCAAAAAACTAAAATTACCAGTACCAGCATTATCATAAGTCATAACAGGCTCGTCAAGAAGGATGAAAAAAATAGGAGGAGGAGATTAAGAAGAAGAAGAAAGCAAGCTGGCAAGGATACATTTAAAAGAAACCCAACTCTTTATATAGTATAGCTACGATGGTAACCTACTTAATAAATATCACATTTAAAAAAGCATTATCATCTCATATATACCATCCCATCCTGCTCTTTATAAAACCATATCCGATTCTGACATCAGTAAGTTGTCATATATTCACCAAATATACACACCCTCAACCAAAAAAAACAACAAAACAAAAAAATACAACTCAACCTCAATATCAAGAATAAAATTTTATTTGAACAAAATTGAAAATCACAGCTGATGATGCAATAAAACTTCACACCACATAAAAATCTTCAAATTAGTTCAACCATCTCAGTGACAGCTGGTACTACCTCATGTTTCTTCTTCCCCTCCTTTTTTAAAAAAAAAATAATAATAATAAGGCCGAATTTATATAGTGCTATATGTTTCCCTATGGTTCAAATGGATAAAATATGTCACTGTGCACCCTTTTGATGTCTTTCAAAACTGAAGAATGTTAAATTAAGAAGACTTGACATTAACATGTGAAAAACCAGGGGGGGTCTTCATAAGCCAGTGAATAAATTTTGACAATCCTACATAAGTCAACATGGTGCTCTGCTGATGCATCAGAAGCAACTCGTCTTGCAGAAGTCACATAGATTGCATTTTAGTAGTTCAACAAACACCGAGATCATATACAGATATGTAAATAGAAATAACTGCTCAAATATGAATCAAGGTAAAATCTATGTTATTATGACTGGAAGATTCTTGAATGACATACCATGTCAAAACTGCAGAGTACAATAATTTAAAGGCTCTTTACATACCACTGTCAGAAATTTTAACAAGCTGATGCAAATAATTATTGTTTCTAACATTGATATTTTTGATATTAATCCCATGATACCAATTGAATAATACTTTCTTCATGCGTCATCCACTTACATCAGATGCACAACCTAGCTAATATCCTTCCTCCTGTCCCCCCCCCCAAAAAAACCCAAAAAAAAAAACGTCTTCCCTAGCTCTTAAGCTCACTTACTTAGTTCAAATCGTCACCTCTTATTAGGCAATGACAGCACGGTTGAAAATTCCTATACAACCTAAACCCCAAGCATTTTTCCTCCTTACACATGAAAATTATTGTGAGTAGAATTATTATAAAAAGCAAAAGAAAACTAAATATGCATCTATCAACAATATAAATTCCGTTGCATAAGGTCTAGCAACTTCATGCATGCAGACACGCCCTCTCCTGTATTCCTTCCATCACTGTTTAATAAGTACCGTCAATTAATTTTTTTAAAAAAAAAAAAAGACACATAAAATTAAATCCTAGGGTTTGAATCAACCTTAAACCACGAAGAGAAATCACGAACTAGGCTAATCAACCAGGAAAGCATCGCAAATCTAAGAAGCAAAACCCTAGAAGTTAAATCAACAAAACCGAAAAGAAAAGGAAAACAAATCAAAATTAAACGACAAAATCTACCTTCAATCTCGCAATGATGAACGATAGAGCTATAAATTTTGCTTCAGCAACAAGAATTCCGTCGCCGGAAGAATAGCAGAGGTCGCTTCTCGGAATTGGATATTGTGAGCAGTTGCCTGAGTTGGAGCTCCAAATCGTACGAAGCCATGGAGGACGAGGAGTCCGGTGTTTTGATCGGCAATGAATTGGACCATTTCGAAATTACTGTTGTGCCCATGCGGCTTTGGCTTTTGAATAACAAGAGGGGCATTTTACGAGGGGTGTTATCGTCAAAACGGTGTTCAATACGGTATATAACTGGCACAAGAGTCACATGTGATTTTGCTACCCTGTACTATAGCACACAAAAAAACATTACATACGCTATCCCGCGATTCCTAGATTTCGGTATTATCTTCCTCCAATAGTAATTTTCTTTTAAGCCAAAATTGCACAAAATTCTTCAATTTCGAGTTATTTGATTGCACATTTTTGAAGTTTTTATTTTATAGATAATTTTTTATAACTTTTTGTAAATAAAAATTTGGGTAAGCTATGGATCCGTAATTCACCACAACCATGACCAATATGGATAGACAAAAGCAGAATCATAGACATACTTGTATATTATCCATTAATAAACTTTTTATAATTAAATTGTTTATTATCATATAATATGTTTTTCCTATTTTTTTTGGTAAGATGGCAATAATATTAAGAAAAGTAAAAATGTCTACAAAGAGAGAGTTAAAATCTGAGGTGAAAAAGACACATTGGGACAATCAAACTTTATGCTTCAGCTATAAAAACTCTATAAAATACTGGAGATGTCCTGATCAATGGGATGATTTTATGTATAGTTGAAACTCCTTCGTTGTAAAGATATGTTTTTCATATTTGTTTGTATTTGTAATTCGAATGAATTATGTATAAAATAATTATGCTTATGACTATAATTAGAGCTGGAGAAAGAAAGACTAGCAAGAACCATGACTCATCTAAAATATCATTTTTTTTGTATTATACTGATTTTGTCTATTTTTGACCTTTCAAGATTTATAAAAACTTTGTAATATATATACTTTTTAACCTCAATCTTCATTATATTTTCAGAATAGATATTTAATAGGGATAAATTTAAAAATTTATTAAATTTTAAAATAGAGTTAATAAAGTTTAAAGTTTTTTTTTTCTAATAAAAATATTAAAAGTGATTCATAAATAAGATCAAAGAAAGTATTGATATAATCCAAAGACGATGGGAAAAGCATTGGTGATATTTCATTAAGACAGGCTTGTGAAACACACCATTTTGATTTATACAACATTTCCAACATTTGATTGCACAAGCAAATGAGAATACAAAGGAGACCCAAAAAAATAAAATAAAAAGATATTTGAGATGATTTGAATTGAGTCATCTACTCATCTATACTTGCCCAAAAAAAAAAATAGTCATCTATCAATATGATGTTGTGTATAAAATAAGAATCCAACAATAATTGGTTTTAGTAAAAAGGATTATGATCACTTAAATACGTAACATTGCATTTGAGTCTATGTAAATATAAGAAAAATTATTTTTATTTGGACTTTAAATATAGCTCGATCAGATGGCCACATACAAAAATGAGGATACAAGATAAAAATGTGGATAAAAAGGTTGAGAAAAAAATATTTTGTTATCTATTTAACAAAAATACTTTTTTTTCATTTTATTACTAGATCTATTTTCCATATACAAAGCGTGATTGTAGTTTAAATTTTAAATAAGTTTTTTATTTAAGAAAAAAAATTTATGAAGATTAGTTATGATTTTCATGTCATGCTTCGTTAGTGATACTCTTTTTTAAAAGTAATATAATATAATGTATGTGTCAGTTTACCATTAAAAAAATAGGTAATATGTATTAAGAAAGTAATTATTATTTCAAAAAAAATCAAAATATAGCAAGTGTGGTTGATGATTTTGATGACAGTGAAAATGCATGCATGAAATGATGCTAATAGAATTTTACACCTTTGAAATTTGATCTAGTTTGATTGAGTGAGACTAGTCCATGATATGATTTCTTAAAATTGATTTGGTTATGAGGAAAGAAAAGGAAAATATGTGCCTAAAAAAGAAACAAGTTAAATTTCTTTTCTTTTTTTTTTGCTCAAAAAATAAATAAATTTTTTTTCTTTTTTTTTCATGGACACCCAATATTTTAGATCTACCTTACCTGAGACCTGGGACGGATCTATATGGAAGCAAAGATCCCTACTCTCCATATTCTTTCTTTGAAAATGTTTGCTTTTTTCTTATAAAAAATTTTAAAATTCATTTGAACTTCCCACTGTTCACCCAACTTTCATTCCCCCTATATACAATTTTGGATCCATCTCTGTTTGAGACCTTTGGCTAATCTAAAATAATTCTTGCCAATTAATCCAAACACTCATGATTTAAAATTCTTAATAACAAAGAAAAAGTTATGCTCTTTCAACTTCAAAATTTGAATTGTTATTAATACATGGGACTTCTTGTAAGAAAATTTCATTTCAGGCAAAATAAAGTTACATATGGTAAAAACTGACTGATTTTTATGTAGTTATTCACTACATGGAGTTAATGTGGAGCTCAAGCTCTTAGATGTGAGACTACAATATCTTAAAACTCAAGGATATAAATGCGGAACATTAAAACTTAAAAGTTAAGCAGTTTAAAATCTCAAAGACATGAATACAAAATATTAAAATTTGTACACCAAATTTTTTATGTCTCAAAGTGAGTGGGTGCATTTATGCTTTTACAAATGATAAATACTCTTCAATCTTTAAATGTCAAGTTGTTATAATATTGACCTCTGACTAGTAGATATTAATGGTAATAATTAATTTCATGTTGATTTTTTATACCAATTTCATATTGACTTTAAATTAAAGAGCATTTTTACTTTAAAGTATTCATTAAGACTGTATTTTTTATTGAGACATATTGCATCATGTTTGATGTGTCATATGATTTGTTAAATAAGTATTTATTAGTAAAAGTAGTGTTAGTTCATACTGATAATCAACTAATGGTATTATCATGAGTTATATAAACATGTGTAAACAAAGAAAAGATATGTCAATCAAATAACTTGTCAGAATAGACATATATTACACATGACGATACCGTTAGTTGATAGTTAGTATGAGTTAATATGTATTTTTCTTCCTTTCTAGATAAATGTTTAAGTCAAATGACATTATTTGTTTCTTCATAAATTTTAACCAAACACATGCATTATGTTTATATATTGACCATTATTACAAGTTAGGAAATTTTTTATCAATGAATCATAGCTTACAAGTCAAGATAGATTTATGCAATTTGTGACAAAATTACTAGTTGATCATTTTGGTTTAAAGGACAATTTTTTATTAATAAGAACCTATTTAGCAAGTAGAATGACACCCTAATATAGAACGCCACAAGTTTCAATGAAAAAACATAAGGGTATTAATTGCCCCTATGATATTATTATTAAACCATAATGTGTTAGTTATTCCTATATAAATATTTTAATGACAAAAATATTATTGAACCCAAAGTCAATATGGAATTAATGGTTAATGTCAACGCCTGTTAGTCTAGGAGTGACAAAGCAATGATTCTAACACTTGAGGAACAATGTTGCTACAACAATGGCTAAGGATAACTCCTGCTTTTGTGAAATAATTTAAAGGCAAAAATATTTTAATCCACAAAAAATGTATTCACGTAATCAAAATATAATTTTATTGATTTCAATGAATTTAGATAATGTAAATTAACGACACGTGTGACTGTCCCAAAAGTACACAAACTATACTTTAGTACGTAATGATGTCAAAAGTTCAATTATTTGAATATTTTATTATTAAATTATGCAATGACTTAAAATTAACATAGCCAAGATGAAAAATGAGTCACAGCTTTGAGCTAAGATATTAGTACCCGATTGGACAGGCATTTGAGGCCCTAATAATCACATTAAAGATTTAAAAGGGATTATAGAGTGCAAAAAATATTGATTGGGTAATTTGATAAAGTCATAATTTGATTGGGATTTTGATTTCTCATCCCACGTTTAGTAGAAATAATAAAGAGTTGCTTTACCAGTGGAATAGGGTCCAGCAAAAAAGATTAAACTTTTTGAAATAAAACAAGAAAGAGAGGGGGATGAGAGAGAAAGAATAAGGAATCATGTCAAAAATTTTAAAAATTTTATTCAATAATATTTAAAATTAAATAAAAATAAAAAATCTAACTCTATTTATAAAGTTTTAAAAATAATAAAATAATAATTTTAATTTAAATTTTGAGTCCTAAATCTAAATAAAATATAAAAGATATTAATATTTAAGATATAATAATAAAATAAATAATAGATCTCGATTTTAATAAATAAGTATTCTTATTTAAATATTTTTAATGAATAATTCTAATATATTAGATAAATTTTAATTATCTTAATTAATCATTACTCATATCTTATCACTTTTATAATATGATAAATTAAAGTTTATATTTTTATTACGAGAAATGTTCATATTTATTATCTTATCTTGGAGGAAGAGTTTGCAAAAATCATGATGTGAATGTGCATGATTATTCTCTCGTCCTCTCATTCAGTTCTCTTCATTTCTTCTTCTTTTTCTAACCACAATGTCATTATTTAGATAGTACAAATTTAATTTCTTTTAAAATTTATTTTTATTTTCTCTTTATTGTAGTTTTAAATTATTCAAATTAAATTTTAACAGTTTCAATTTGATTATCTCTTTTTATAGTTTGTAATTACATGAGAAATTAAATTTGAACTAAAAATATAAGTCTAACGATTTAAATAGAGAAAAAGGGAAAGGGAATGAAAAACGAAGATGAAAGAATTATCTCACAGGCCATGACTTGTCCCTGCTTATCATAGGGATGAACAACATGATATTCATTGTGTGATGAGATTTGGATCATTTAAATTTTAATTTGGATGATCTAAATTTAAAATATTATTATATATTATATTTATTAATATAAAAATTTATAAAATAACTTTAACAAATTTTTTATTTTTAATATGATCTAGATTTAATTTGAAGGGTCTAATTTAATATTAAAATTTTTATAGTTGTTATATATTAATTATCTAAATATACTTTATATAATCCAGATTTAATCTAATATTAATTTGAATTGTGCAACGTACACCTAAATAATAACTATGCATCAACTATAAAAATTTTAATATTAAATTAAACTATTTAAATTAAATCTAAATTATATTAAAAATAAAAAATTATTAAAATTATTTTATAATTTTTATATTAATAAATATAATATATAATAATATTTTAAATTTAAACCATTCAAGAATCTAAATTAAAATTTAAATGGTCTAGATTTTATCATAAGGATGAATATCCTTGGATTGAGTAGGAAAATCAATTCCATGACGCTCCATCTTGTCCCCTTCTCCAACGTTCTTTCTACAATACATTCTCAATCATTTTTCCTATTATTTAAACATCATTCATTCTTTGTAAATTTAATTACCGAGAAAAATGATGTAAATAAAAAACTTTATCAAAGCCAGCAAACCCCATGCTTTTATGGTAATTATGCATTTAAAAGTGATTTTAATAAACGAAATCCCCAAATCCAACATCAACTATCCCAGAATTACGTATATAAAAAAGTTTTCAAACATAAATGACTATTAACTAATATCACTTTGTGGAAATTCCTGAACTTCTTGCACCTCCACAAATTTATCTGAAAGCGACAAAAATAATTCGTTGGAAATTCCTTCTTCAAGGAAAGTCATACTGCTACTCATCAATTACTACAGATTCTACACATTTTCCTTCTAATTGGAATATAAAAATTTCAAAATTCAAGAGAAGGAACCTTTTTTTTTCTTGTGCAGAAATGCTTTATTTTGGAGAAGAAGAGCTGCAACGATTTTATTTTACAAAATCCTTTGTTTCTTCATTGTATCAATTTTTGTAGGCTTGTCTTTGAAGCATCTTGCAATAGGTGATAGATATAACAATCAATCAGTTACCAGAAGTTTGAGAGGTCTGAAGATTATCATACATAATGGAAATTCCTTGCTTTCATAGTAGGAAGAGAGTGTTATTCTACATAACATTCAGCATATTGTCACAACTTATGTTCGGATATAAGAGAACTCGCAAAATTGTGAAATTTTTTTGAGACCTTTAGGATAATGGAGAGAATTTCAGAGTTTTCAAGAAAGGTTCAATATGTTCTAGAAGCATCTAGAACAATCTATAATTCTCTAGAGAAATCTAGAAAAATCTAGAAGTTTCTAAAAGGTTTTAAAAATTTATGAAAGGATATGAATATATCTAGAATATTCAAGGATATTATAAGATGTTCTAGAATATTTCACACATATCTTGAAGGTTAGCTTCTAGAAACATCTTTGTAAATATATAGATATTTATTGTAGATATTTTTATAAAACACTCTAGAGGATAAATGTAAATCGTAAGATTAGATTGATCTTCACCGTCTATTAAGGACATGGAAATTTTTTAGAGAAAGGAAAGGGCCTATAAATACTCCCACAACCCCTCATTTGTAAACAACAAGGAAAGTAATCAAAGTCTTCTCATCTAAAGCTCTCAAGTTCTCTCATTTAAGCTCTCTTCTCTCTTGTGTTCAAGTTTTTTAGTTTCTTTGCCTACATTCTGAGAGTTCGAATGACTTAACAAAGAACAAGAGATTGATCACACTAAGGCCGGCATGGTTCAAGATTGGGGAGTTTTAAGACCGTGACAATATGCTCTACTCTTTTAATTCAGTACTCTTTTTTTTTTTCTTTTTTATCTTCCTTTCTTTGTCTTTGCTAACTTATGAGTTGTCATCATTTGATCTTTTTATTTAAAAAAAAAAACTAATATCACTTATGATCAAAATCACAATTATATAAAATCATATTCGTTCACCTCCAATCTGGTACTAAGTAGATGATCAAATTTAATGGTTCAAATTTGACAATTTTTAAAGGAATAATAAAACATTTAGTCAGTAAATTTGCCTCCATTATCAATTCAATTTCTCAAGTTTAATTTTTATCGAATTGATTTCTTATTTTTTTCTTAAATTATCATGTGAATCCTTTAAATTTGAAAAAATAAATTAACTTTGAAATTAATCTAATATATGAAATATATTGTTGACATATATATGCAGTTAAATGAGAATAAACTGGCCCTCAAATTAGTTTATTTTTTATCAACGTACTCTCTTATGCTACATTTTGTTCTCTTATTTTTTAAAATTTCTGAGGCCATTTTTTTCAATTAAATAATTACATTTATTTTATTAATATACATGATTATCATCAATATTTTATTATCCATGTTAGTATAATTAAATAGTATTATATCCTCTTTAAATAATAAGGACTAAATCAGTAATTGACATAAACTTAAAGAACCAAAACAATAAAAATTAAATTACAATGATCAAATAGATTATTGAAACAAATTTGAAAGATTAAAAATTACATTGTCTAATTTTTAAAACTACAAATTAATCAATAAAAATGCGGTGAAGAAAAATACCATGGAGAAAAACCTAACTCAATTTTTGACGCATGAATTAGATGACATGATGCAGACGCAAACAAAAAATCAAAATAAACAGTGAATTTGTTTAACAAAAAAAAAACAAAAGTCAGGTAAGTTAAATTCCGGAAATTCCTCAAAATTTGACTGAAAATTTACGTTCACTAAATAAAATATATAATATATCCCAATCCAATTTGGCTGTACAATACTGCAAGAGCTAAATGATTGAATGGCTGATGCAGGAGGACAAGATAGTGTCAGAAAACAGAGTAAACATTGACACAAACAAAACAATGCTGTGTTTACTTTATGACGTTGTACGAAACAATCGGAGCTTAATCATGAATCTCTGGAAATAAAACGTGTTTCTTATGGTCACTAAAATCAACATATAATCTCCTGATACCACAAAGCTGTCCCCTATCTAAGTCCCACAAGGATAATCAAAAGCTTCATATGCCACCGCAAACAACATGGAACCTCATGTCTTCAAAACTTTCACGGACACGTGTGAAGATTTATATACAGAAAATTCTGAACTAAAATCTGGGTTATTCAACAGATAAGCAAACCAAACTAATTGTGACAAATAAAAATAAAATAAAATACACAAACATGTTAGAGATGGGTCCCACTGAAAAGTTGATCAGACCAAAAAATTGTCTAAAGTACAATACAATTCTTGCAGAGTCAGATAAGTGCAAAGAGAAAATTAAACTTCCAGTTGCAACAAACACTTCTGTAAATTTTCAAAAGCTAATTTGTGCAACTAGCTGTACATTAAACGTATTTCTTTCATAATTGGTTCTATTTCTGGAGATTATGTATTGCTCTTGCTGGAGCTTCTAGTCAAACCAAATCGCAAGGCACACTGATATCCCTGTCGTCCACAAAACTAAACTTGATAGCATATGCAGGCCAAGCTGGCTGGAAACTAAGCTGGCCAACCCAACATGACAATAGAAGGTTTTGGTATCCATTCCTTATGTAAGAATTTCTATCCATGGCAAGAAGTCCCGTCGCTCTTCACCTTAAAGCAGCATTCCCATAGGATGCGACCGTCAAAGAACACTACCGGCTTGAGAATCCAGAAGCATAGTCTATTCCAGCATCACCTAGAAAGAAATGCATCTATCAGAACAATTAACTTGATAGCATGCAAACTTAATGAGTATTAATAGAAGTCAGGCCCATTACTCTGTGAAGAGTCAGTGACTGGTGGAATAGGTGATGACATGCTCCTCATCCCCTTATCTGTGACAGTTGAATAAAATAATATAATATTATTGATAAAAAAAAATAATATCAATGATCAGTATTCAATTTGTGTATTCAATATGTATAAAAAAATTCATATGACAAGCAGTACTATTTACAAGTCACATGCAACACATTCCTTAGATTTCAACCATGTGTCTAGTGATAATCCATTAACAAATTACTCTGATAATGTCACTTCCTTTCCACAATAGCTTGTCAAAGTGACAAAAAAAAAAAAAATAACTACAATTTGGGTCTTGAATGCATGTCTTATCAATTAAATCTTCATAAGTTAGTTGCCAACTTTCCATTATTGTTTTTTCTTAAAAACCCATCAATATAATCCTAGTAAGAGTTCGGTTAACTATCAATTTAGTCCACAACATGACCACATTAATGAATTTTTCTTTAAAATAAAAATATTCTCCATCTTATAAGGACTGAATTAACAAAACATGTCTCTGACAAAGACTCAAGTAGTATTTACTAATAAACCCTATTAGCAAAAACATGTCAAAGTGGCCACACGCGGATATAGGTGCCAGTAATGCTTTTTACCCTGAGAAGGAGGAAGGTGGGGATTTTTTTTTTCCCAAAGATAACTATTAATGGTCTTTAACTTCTAACCCTGATAGATTACAACCAGAGATTTAACAAGGATTTGGATCTTAGACTAAAAGTATAATGAATCTCCATTCAGCCAAATCATCACCAATATACATGTCGTGTTTACAAACCATGAACAATGTGGCTTGTTTCTCAAACTCCGTGCAATACAAGGGGCCCAACTATCTAATTGTTTAGAAAAGTAAAAAATGGCATATAGGTATAACTGCCCTTGTATGTCTTCAGCTGATAACAAAATGTCAAGAGATCTAGAGATCATAAGGGAAAAGTATGATTGAATCTCTGGGGAATAAAATCACATACCCATAGTATGATGCATACCCTTGACAGCGTCAAAATTCTTATATGTATAACCAACAAAGCTAAGATCTTGAGGAGTCAATAGCATCTGCAGGCGAATAAAACATGAATAAGTTGCAAAGGTATTCTACAAATACTTCACTACTCAAAGCTTCCATATAGCCCATACAAAATGTGTCAAAATAAAAATTATAAATGTCAGCAGGGAAGGAAAAAAAAATCGGATGCATAAGTGTATCATGAGATCAGTGATCGTTAAGTTATTTTTAGTTCAAACCATCAACCTTCGAAAGTTTATCACCAGCAAGAATCAAACTAAAGACCTTTTGTTTGATATAGCTCATTGTTACCAACTGAACCAACCTACTCATCACCAGCAAGAATTGAACTTTTTTTATTTGACTTTAACAGAGACATACCTGCTCCTGCAGTTACTATTGTTACCCCCCCCCCCACTTTGATGGGGGCTTAAGAGCCTAACGATCAGGAGACATACCCAAGGATTCTAATTATAACACATTCTAATGCAGCTGAAACTTTCCACTTCAAAATGAATGCCACAAAAGTAAACAGACGAGGCAAGTTACCAGACTTTTTGCAAGACAGGTTTTAAAATTTTTAAAGTAAATAGAGTAGATACCTTCCTGACGGGACCAGATCCTGTTCTTGTTGGTTTTGGTTGTTCAACCTATTAACACAATTACAGTCATGTTATAAGAAAGTAGAAAGAAAGCAGAAGGGATATGAAAATTTATGTACCTATAACAAAGATAGCATCCAAAAGAAGGCACATTTACAAACAATCACTTCATCTCCAATTTTTTTTTTTTAAAAGAAATCCATTCTATTAGAGAACAATTCTACTAAAGGAGACTGGATTTAAACAAACAAACAAGTAATCAAGCAAACAGACATATACGCAACACACGCACACAATTCTTAAAAGCTCAGACATATATGCAACTTGGTAATTTTTAGCTTAATTTAAAACAGCCAGATATAACATCACAAAACAAAGTAATTTTTCCCTTCTTTCTTTTTACCAGCATTATGCCCTTCCTTCTGATATTTAACGAAAAAATCTTCATTAAAAGCTACAGAAGTTGTGACATATTGCATCTGAATGAAGGAAATAAATACAAACTAGTGACTGTTTATGGTGTCCAAGTGAAAGGCAAGATGGAGGAACCAAGAAACAGAATGAAAGAGATCATGGATATGAACTCTACCGAGCATAACAGTCAGAAAGAATTTATGATATAACCTCATCAAATTTCATAAAATTCTGTGTGTCAAGCTCTCCATTGACTTGTGGTTTGAATGCGGCTTCCATTTCATAGAGTTTATCCCATAAAACATCTTTGAACCAAGGATGTGCCTAGTCAATTAAGTGCCATTGTTAAGAGGGGGGAAAAAGCAATTTAATTGTAAAGTTCTATAGATAGAGAAACACATTTGACATACTTTAATTTCATCAGCTCCTCTAGTACCAAGTCTTAGGTCAGCATCACAAAGCAACCTACAAATTAGATTCATTGCCTCAGGTGTCAATCTTGCCTCCTCTGGAAATTTTAAATGATGTTTCCAATGTACAATCTGCATGCAATCATCACCAAGGCCACATGAAGGAACATAATTTCAACCCTAACTTGCGCTCCCAAGTCCAATAGAAAAAAAAGTAAAATAATTGATAAATGCTAACAAGTACTTAAATTCTCATAAAACTTTAAAAGATGATCAATATAGACAACAAATGAGGCAAACGAGTAAGCTACAGGACCGAGTAACCACATAATCTACATCAAAATTGTATTATGCAAAAGGGTTCAGAGTAACTCACTTGAAAACCAAATATGAAGCAAGAGTAATCTAAAGAAACTATAAGAGGGGTTCAAGTTTTTTTTTTTTTTGGGACCAACAGAGGGGTTCAAGGTTTGAATTCTTAAAACTTTTTTAAAATGTTCTCACTCTAGATCCTTGACAAGGGGGTAAAACTCTATATTACCTTAGATTTCTACAATTTCTCAGAGTTTGGTTCATTGTGTGGCATTTCATTTTTGATGGGTCAAGAATCAGAATCTACGATTATAGAGCTTTCCATGAGCACAATCATGTGAAATATTTCTAGTTAAAGTAATAATTTCTGGATATAAATTAAAAAGAAGAAACAGAAACCAGACATTTGAAAAGCAGTAAAATTTATGGTGGTGAGAACAGTTAAAATATAAAAACAATCTGGTATTCATTCACCTATGTTTTTGAAAACATCAATCTAAATAAACTAGTATATCAAAATTGCCATCACGATCATGTCCAACTTTTTTCCTTAAAGGACTTAAAAGGGATTATTAATAGACAAATTGTTTTCCAAATAGCTGCTGTCTAGAACTTACAAAAATTTACAATACAAGAGACTGGAATTGATCTCCAATCATCATCTTTTATTATTTAGGGGCTTGGGAAATAGTGCCCACACAAAAATATTTTTGAGTTATTCTAAAGAAGAGGGAAGGCGAATGAGGAACAGGAAAAATGATGAAGAGATTAAAACCTTTCTACACGTTGTAACTGGGTCATCGGAGTAAAATGGGGGATAACCAACAAGCATCTCATACATTATAGCACCAAGAGACCACCTGCAACCACGCAGAATAGACATTAGCAACAAGCCCACTGTTCCACTTCAAGAAAGGAAACAATGTTTTAAGATAAAGTGGCATTTTCCCAGGTAAGATCATCTAAATTGAAAAATAATGTCCACCAAATACTAGTTAAACGAAGGAGTCTTCTAAGACCTTCAATTGTACTCTTCTTTCTTTCACATTTTCCCAACAATACTTTCTGTTACAGCTTGCAAGTGGCAGAATATTTTCTTATGCTTTTTTGCGTTTTAGTCTTATCATGTAATACTTTGATTGTTTCCTTCATAGAAAGGAAGCCTTAGGATATTATTTTGTTTTCCTTCATATGAAGTAAATCTCACTTTATAAATAGCAGCTAGGCAACACTTGCACTCAGACTTGATGAACGAATATTTATGCCTGAAGTCTATGATTCTCGGCCAGCTTTCCCCCCTCCATTTTCTTGTTTTTCTCCCCCACCTTTCTTCTCATTCTCCCTCAAGTTCTTCATATTCCCCCTCCTTGTAGCCTTACCTCTCCCATAATTCCTCTGCCTAAGTCTCTCTCCTTTTCTGTTCTTCATTTCGCCCCTATTCCCTCTCTGTTTTCTATGCTTCTCCCCAAATTCGCCTCTGTTTGTATTAGAAGTGTGTATTGCATCAAACAGGCTTCAAACCAGTTCCTAAATGCAGACTTTGGCTGAGATATTGCAAGTTGCTTTATTTCATCGTGACAAATTTTGTCTTGGGTAAACAGTTAGTATAGAGGGTATAGTGTTTGGCACATGACATTGGAAAACAAGAAATTCTATTGACTTTATAATTTATAATAATAAGCATGTGCATAATTCACTAGCTGCGTTATACTTAAAAGTCTAAGTGCAGTCATTTGGAACCTAGAACTCTATGAATCTTATCCAGAGATGTTAAATAAAAAGTCACTGCAAATTCATTATCTTTTTTTCTTGGGGGTGAAAACTGCAAATTATTATCAGCTTTCACTTCAAAACGCGCTAACTTAATGATCAGACGCAGAGCAAACAAGAGAACTAGAAACAGAATATCAACGTACCAGTCACACTCCACACCATATCCCTTTTTAAGCAACACTTCAGGAGCAATATAGTCTGGAGTTCCAACCGTGGAAAATGCCTGTCATGAAATGAAGAGACAAGATGGAGAAGGATATTTATGCAGGCATCCAAAGATAAGATCTGTTGAAAATGATAAAATGCAATTCAAAACTGAAATTTCATTTCTTAATGCTACATTTGAGGCCTTAAATGATTATTTATGATATATATATATATATATATTAAATATCATTAATAGAGCTTCTCCTAAAAGCTTAACCTCGTGGGAAAATGCTCCAGTAGGTATTAGAGATTTCACGATTGAGTAGTCAACATTTCAATATTCATTTCCTCCAATTTTTGTAAACTATTTTGTTTCTTTTTTGATATAAAAGTTTAAGAAAATTGGATCTAAGAAGCTTATTAGAGCCAATCATCGCTTAAGGAGCATTTACAATTATTGATTTTCTACAAACAAGGCCCTTGCATCCACAACAAGACATTTTAACCGTCACTATCAGAAATGGGATATTAACCCATGCCCTTATGGGATAGAAGCCAAATTCATATCAACTTAACCAACCTTTGTTAACCATAGATTAAATTTCACTACAAGGTATGGTGGGCCAACACTTTGTCTAACACTTCAAACCCAAAGACCTGTCATGTGAGAAGGCATGCTTGGAAAATATATTGAAAGCCACTAGTACCCCTTCTCCAATAGCTTAAGGTTTTTGAGTGAAATGGTTCCAAAAGATTATTAGCAAATTAGAGATCAAAAGATAAACAACTGAAAAGTATTAATCTCCTTTGTGGTTAAGAATAGAGAATTTCAGTTTACCAAAAAAAAAAAAAGGAAGAAGAAGAAAAGAATTGAGAATTTCAACCTTATGCAAGACATCCAGAAGTAAAATAAACATTTTAAATATTATAAAAGAAAGAAAAAAAATTGCAAAGCTTTAATTCGTTTTCTGATCCATCAATCCCCACTGCTAAAGTATTTTCTGGATTGCTCAAGACAAATGTGCAACAAGCATGGTCATGCATAATATTGGACACGTCAGATTACTTGTTTACCTCCAACTCATATTTTCTTCAAGTGAAAAAGTAAATTACATATTGCTGTAAGGCATTTTTAAGAGGAAATGAAATGAAATTAAATTAGGCAAGCAACGAAATGTTATTTCTGAATGTAGGCATTATATAAAGCAGTTACCAACTTCCTCCTGTTTATCTGCCAATGCTGAAGTTGTTCAAGGGGACTTTTCCAGCGCCTTCCACATCTAGAATTTGGTAAGGATCCATCAATGTCCATGGTATCACTCAAGTTCTCATCATCTAAAACTTCACCTTCATTTATTGATGATAAATTTGTGCAATCAAGTGGCTTGCAAAGACCAAAATCAGAGAGTTTCATATGACCATTTTTGTCCAACAGAAGGTTGTCAGGTTTTATATCACTGCAGAAGAAGGACAAAAGGAGAAATTTATGGCGGTGAAAATGGGTTCCAAGAGAAAGACCGTGCTAACAACATAATGATCCTGACGTAACTACCAACCGATGAATGTAATTGTGTTTGTGAATAGATTCTATGGCCAAAACACTTTGAGCAACGTAAAATCTAGCCACACTTTCAGTCAAAGTTTCTTCTCGAATCAGCAAAGTCATTAGATCACCACCGGGTAAATATTCCATTATCAGATATAAGTATTCAGCATCCTGAAATGAGTAATAGAGTTTCACAATGCAATGACTTGCAACTTCCGCCAGTAAGTTCCGCTCAGCTCTAACATGTTCAACCTGAATTGCAAATGTAGCCAGCAAGATTACAAAAACAAATAATTTGCAATATACGATGAAGCTAAAACATAACAGCTGAAATGAGCGACAAAATTTGACAATGGAAAGAACAGGGTTTGTACAACTTAATTATAATGAGAACTACCTGTCCCCTGCTGAGCATTTCAGACTTTTTCAACTTTTTCATGGCAAAAATATCGCCAGATTTCTTCTCGCGACAAAGCCTTACCTGTGTAATCATATTTTAAAAGCATTCAATCAGTCTCATGGTAAACCATCGTAGAACAAAAGTAAATGGCTAGTCAAATCACTTCAGGATCACATACAACCAGCATATTTAGCCAACATAAACTCTAAAGCAATTACGACTTGAAAGAAAAGGAAAAGAGAAGATTAAGAATGCTAAATATGGTAATGGGACGACACAGGATTAGGGAAGGAAGAAACCACAAGGAAAGGTATATTTCTGGTTTAAGCACAATCATCAGTCAAAGTAGACCAAGATTCTTTAGATGCATTTATCAACAGAAACATGTAAGAGTTCTAGTGTCAATAATCTGTTATATTAGTTAAATGTACAAGCGAGTAAAACAGTCAGAAATTCTAGGTATTGCCTGGAATGAATATCTTTCATTTATTGGCTGATCTTCTCAGTAACAACCAAACCATGACCTTCACCTAACAAAGTCTTCTGAGCTACAAAAAGAAACATAAATTCTCCCATCTCAACGAAATGTGAAGATCTGAGGTCCTTTGCTTCATATTTTAGACTTTGAAATTCTCTCCACTTAAGACCTCTAATCCGATAGTAACAATTAAATTCCAGCATCAACATTTATCACTGTCACGTGCTGCCTCTACAAATTCCAGCAAACAAGAAAACTTCAATCTTACAGATGATTACATAATGAGCACATTAAATGCTTCTCATGCAGCTTTGACCATCATTGGGTCAGACACCTTAATACCCTGTGCACATCTACGACAGTGATGATGATGATAGCCACAAATGATAGGAAACTTACAAATGCCTAGCATCCTGAATTTAGCAGCATTATGCCCATGCTTTTGCCAAAAGAATTTCCTCAGCATCAAAGTTTCCACAGGCACACCATCATCATGTTTCAACTATCAATTCAATGCCTATCAGATTTTCCAGACTAAGCAATTTTCTGTTCTTAAAGAAGAATTTTCTTTTAATAGTGAAATTGCGTTGCAACATCAGAATTCATTTATCTTTGAGAAATGAAAATGTAACAAGATAATCCAAGCAAAATAAATTATCAATGGCTAACCATGTGCATAGTTGCCATACACAAAAAACATGGAAGTTAGTGAAACTTTGAAAGCAGATGTTCCTCTAGTTTTCCTCATACAGTTTTTTCTTCATTTCTTTTTTCCCAACTGAAATCTAAGTTCATATCAAAAAAATTTATTCCCAGCAAGGTATTGTTCAAAGATTAGCCAGGAAATTAATGAAAATAGTTGGTTTGACCAGAAGAACTAATTGTTTTACCATGTTGAAAATGACATTGCAGATTTCCAACAAACTTGAAAAGTTCTGCTCTAATGGCACCAAAATTAAGAAACAAAGAGGCCACTAATGATTTAATCTGATTGAACACGTGAGTACCTCTCCAAAGGCTCCCCTCCCAATAATATCTAGAAGGTCAAAATCATTGACACATATTTTGTGTCGTTTTAACCTTATATACTCAGTCTCCTTGCGCTCTAAATCCTTCAGTTGATACATCTGTTCTTCTTCTGGTACATGAGAAGATGCTAACTTCTTTTCCAGCACTGAACGCCTGCAAATAATAAATTTACGGTTGTTACTATGCTACGATCAACAAGCAAAAAAAATAAATAAACAAATTAGTGTTCCAGCGTATCAAATATCAACAATACTCTAATAATGAAATTCATATCGTGAAAAGGACAGATTTCAAGGCCTACACACTTGTGTCTAAATGAACTAAACTGCCAAGAGGGCACAAAAAACAAATTAAGCGAACAAAGGAGACAGTGACACTGATGATATATAAGATTTCTTTGAGTGAAATGATGGATAGCACTTTTTTCTTTTTAAATAAACAAGGACATATCCATATATAATTAAACTGCAGAAATAGCACAAACAAGGGAATACACTAGAGAAGGAGTGTGCCTCACACAAATCTAGTCACCCTTTCATCATTCACCACCTTAAAACAAGAAGGTGGGGATGATCAAAAGCCCAAAAGGGGACACTAAACTATGAGAAAAAATAGCTAAAGTATTTGCTACCTCATTAACCTCTCTAAAAGTGAAGTTAAAAACAAGTGCCCAATCTCTCTGGATAAACTCTCTAAATTCCAAAATATCTTTGCCGAAAAGGGTGAATATATAGCACTTTCAATACATGCATACGAAGCATAAAGGAAGCACTGTCACATTCAAGTAGAAATGCTAAAACCACCTTCCCCCCCCCCCCACCAGTAAGTTGGAAACTCATACTACCAATTATTTTCTTCAAAACAAACGCAGTTGACATGAATGCATCTTCTACCTGTTTCTCTATTGATCAGAGTTGTGTTTCTAACATATCTTCAAAGAAATAGCCTTGTGCCACAAATAACATTGCTATGATTATCAGCAACTTCTTTGCCCGCGCAAGTTGGCAGGACAGCATTTCTTCATTTTTCAAAATTTTCCAGAATTTATGTCTGAAGAAAACTAGGCAAAAATTTTCAAATATTTATCATCGTGTCCTTTAATAAAAAATAACATGGAAAAGAACTTTTAAAAAATTCAATGCGATACGGTCTAAATTTATTCACTTAAAATATTTTAATAAAATACAACTGAAAATGGCCTTCTAGTTAGAAGATGTTTAAAAAAGAAAACTGCTCAGAACTTCTAGATGCCTTGTAATCCAATGTTCAAGTATTAAAAAAAAAAAAAAACATTTATTATGCCTGCAGAGAGAGTACCTCGATCCTGATAATACAATACCTCATCCAAGTATGAATAGCCAGAAATATGAAGGATCCATTCTCCATAACCCACACTCATTACAGACTTACGATATTCGCAGTTCGCATCATGTCGGAAAATTAAAAAGTTTGACAAGATTTTCAAAACACCTCCAGAATCAACAAAGCTTAAAAAAAAAAAAAAGATTCCCCACGACATGCAAGAAAATAAGGAAATAGAAAACCTTAAGCTGAAAGAGGAAATGCGAATTTGTCAAACAAAAGGAGTGATTTTGTATTGCTACGTTACCTCTCTTTGCGATCTTGTATGAGCTTCATCTGAGCTCTGTAATGGTTCTCGATGAACTTCTTGGCGACAGCCACCCTCTCCATAGTCAAGCTCGAGCCTGCCTCTCCTTCCTCTTCATCCCCAACCATGGGTCCCACCTCCTCCTCCTTCCCCTTCTCCACCCGAATGTCCTCCATTTCCGAAGCCCTCCCTGTACCGACCTTTTCTTCAAAGATCCTTTCCCCTTTCCTCTGTGTGTGTGTGTGTGTCACAATTTGGACAGTTGAAACAATGAAGCCTTGAGACTCGGCCCAAAGAAGACCTCTTACAAAGAAACGCTCACATGTGTTCTGTCTCTTACACTCTCTTCAACTTCTCAATTTCTCTGTCCGAAGAGCGTTCACTATTGATTGGTTCGTTCCGGAATCTCTGCAATGTTGGACACCTAAGGTGTCCAGGTGGTAGACAACAATGTGGGATCACCATGCACCATTATTGGCCAAGCCCTAATCCTACGGCCTATGATTATTGACGACATTGACGTTTCACTAAATTTACCTCTCCAATTAAGTATAATCCCAAGTCATTTCTAGCTGGAAGGAAAATTATGCCATTGATAGAACCTCTGAAGAAGAAGAATCCGCGAGAGTTTTCAAGTCGGGGAAGGAAAAACAAAAAAGAACAATGCCAATATTATAGCTCGACAAGGTTGTATGCTCTATTCTATAGTCTTTGATATTCTTTTTAGAAAGAATGGAGCAAAAACAGAGCGATTATCTACAAGTTTATGCATTTTCAACCGGGCTTTATTTAGAAAGAACTGAACAAAGACATGACATTCTCCGCATGTGAGAGAAGATGCACGGTTCATCCTTATTTTTCCCTTCATTTTTCTCTCATTTTGCGGTTGATATGGCGCGTAAATCGGGTTCGTATCGCAAAACTCTTAACCCTCCTCATGAAATGTCTGGTAATCATAGATCCTCACCAGAATTGCTCCTATTTGCGACAGAGAAGCATATTTGCTCCTCCTTTCTCAGGTGAAGAAAAGAAGAAGAAGAAAGCTGTTAGCTTTTTTCCCCCCAGTAAGCGTTAATTTTGAGAAATGTATTTGGATGCGGTCAAATTTCAAAAATCAAAACAAATACTGAGCCCAAAAGGGTCACATGTTGACTTGCAGGCCGAGATCTGGAATCTCCATTCTCCAGGTATTCTCTGCTTCAGCAAAGGGAAGGAGGACACGGTAACAAAAGCAGAGAGATGCTGGAAGTAAACCATTCAACTCAAAAGAAGATACTCATTTCTGTGTTGTGTAGGAAAATAATACAGTGAAGATTTCAATTTATTGTCATGACAACGGGTTATTTAATTTAGTAGGCTTGTGAGGAAAAGTAACATGCAACAGAAGGAAGTTATTTATTCTATTGATCGAGGTCGAATGAATGGAAGCCAAATCAACTTACCAGTGCCCAGTGACTACAAGACCTGAGCAGAGTTATCATATTCACTGTTTTGTCCTTTTTGTCCGCTATTTTTATTGCATTTGTTTTTAAATTCTAGCCTTTTGTTTTCGTTGTTCGCTCTCTCTTTTTTTTGGGTATATTTTCTTGTCCTTTTGTTTTCAATTTGTGTCTGTCTTTTGGTGGGCACGGGGATTAATTCCGTGTTTTTGGGCACGGGGATTAATTGTCATTGGGCCCGGGGATTAATTCCTTGACCTGAAATGTACCGGGCTAGATAGATCCAATTTAAATACAAAAAAATGTCATCTGTGTTAAAAGAATCCGAGTTGAAATGCAAAGTATTTAAAAATTCCACCTGTCGAAGGAATTAATTGAAGTTAAAATATCAAATATTGAATGGCAGGCATAAATATGCTATGTTTTAATTTTTTTAAAAGCTAAATTACTACAATAAATAATTTATAACACTGGGTGCCTCTTATAAACTCACCCTTAATAATCTAACGTTTAACCATAATCACCTTAATAAAAATAGGATTAACTCAAATGGGTTACTCAACCATTTTCTAAATACGAATATATTTAATTTTAAAATTGGAATCTCAAGGATTTGATATAAAAAAAAGAGGCAAATAAGTTCAATCAAATTTATCCTGATCATTTGAAAAAGTTACAGAAGTATAAAATATCATTCGTGTTTCAAAATAAAGAGATCAATTAAAAAATTTCACATACGCAAAAATTGATAGACGCTATGGCATGGCGCCTTTGCACCGTGATGTGTCTTCTCCGTATCGTGGGCTATGACACATTGCATGTTCTGACAATAATTTACTATCAATTTGAAAACACCATCTTGGAACAAATTTTTGACTTATTTCAATTCTCCACTTGATGTTCGATTAAAACGATTTAAGTATTTACAAAAAACTGTATCTGTAATGTAGTTACTAACATAGGTTTTGCTCCCAAAAGACTTCACACCAAGTAATTGGATATCCAAATACGTTTTCTTCACTTTTCATTTTTTCCACAACTTAAGGTTGTCTAAAATCCCAAATACATGTGCCAAAGCTATATTTAACACCTAAATCATATTTAATAAACTTAAGAATATTTGTACAACACAACACATTAAGTATATAACACATATCTCAAATTTACCTCTCAACCCCTTAACATTAAAAAAAAAAAGAGGGAGATCTAGCATTTGCATTTAATCAATATTCATGTGTAATGAACAATATGAATCATTTCTTTACTTGCACTAATATTTTAGCCCTATTATATATAATCAAATTTACATACAAACATTTCATAGTCCAAAATAGAACAATCAATCGTAAATATCCTTATAATACAAGTATACTCAAAATGCATTCTTAATTGGCAATGTCTTGTAATTATACAAAATAAACTAAGTTGGAGGCTTTACAATATGAATATCAAATTCTTAATCCTCTAGCGCTTTTCTCTTATCTACACCCGAGCTAAAGTTTGTAAAATATTAAGAAAGAGATGTGAATACAGTCACTCAATAACCAAGATACGTCTATTATATACAGTTGTATATCAATTGACATTAAACTTAGTTACAATATTTGAAATGTAATCACGTAACCAGATACATGCTTATTTCATATCACATATGTGCATAACCATTAAACATCTCACAATTACAATTAGTGCTCATTGTCACAATTATAACAACTATATGGCAATGGCAATACAATAATTACAACTTATTATAATCTTAACAACCATATGAGACATAGAATATTATGCATAATCAAACCACCCTTATATCCACATTATACCTTCTGACTGAAACCACTTATAATTGTTATTAAGTAAAATTTTAAAATGATAATGGACATCTCACACATCTCAGAGCCCGTTTGGATATATGACTTTTGGCTTTTGAGATGTACTTTTGCACTTTTAGAATATAGAATGTTGTTTGAAAATTTATAATTGGGCAAAATGACTTTTTGAATGCATATTGAGAAAGTTATTAAAAGTGAATTTGAGAACTTAACTTTTTAAAGCTTTTCAAACCGACTTTCTAGTGTTAAGTTTTTGAATTTACTATATTGTCCTTTTTCCCTCACAATACTTATTATATGCTCTGTTTTATTTAAATTTGAATTTAGTACAATAACCACAAGACCAAATAGATTATATGGAGGGACAATTTTGTGAACCTTCTATTTGTGAAAAAGAAAGAATAATGTTTTTAATCCTATTTATAAGGCATGCCATTCAATATTAATGATTGTTAAACCATTTATTACATAATTTTTTTCAATATTAACTTTATATTTTTTATTCTCATTATTTACCATATTAAATTTTATGTTATTTTAATTTTTTTCACATTTTTAATATATTATATTTGATAACAAAAATTATAAATTATCATAAATCAATATCATTTTTGGTCATAATAGATTTAAAAGTGCATTTTAAAAGTACAAATCATTATTAATTTAAACAACTTTTAATTTATTAAACTAACTTAAAAAAAGTACATTCAAAAATATAAATTTCATTACAATAACTAGCTTTTATTAAATTAATTTTTATTAAATGAATTTTTAGCTGACTGAAAATGAAACACACACTTAATCATATTTAGTGCAGCAAAAAAAGCATATTCGTTTTTCTGACTAGGAAGTAACTTGCTGGCTAGTGCCCTGCAAGGCCATCCACAACAAATTGTAAGCTATGTAATCCCTAGCCAGGACTGAATAAGCAGATGCTATGTTATTCTGATCTGAACCTATATTCACCTCTTCATCATCATCAAACACGTCAAGCTTCCACTGTGGATCCATCTCTTCATTTCTCATCTCACATATATTATGCAGAACACAGCAAGCCCCAACAATCACAGGCAAGTCATCAAGTTTCATCTCTCTTCTCTTCTGCAAACAACCCCACCTACCTTTCAATCTACCAAACGCTTCCTTAGCAACCTTTTGAATCTTCCCAATCTTCTCATTGAATACTTGCTGACACCAAGTCAGATTTTTTTCTGTATATGGAACCAAAACCCAGTCCATCAGAGGAAACCCAGAATTTCCCACCATCCAAGCATCATTTAAAAGTCCCAAACTGGCTCTCAGCTGGTATAAACCTGATATCTCTAACACTTTATCATCAGGTAATGAACCAGGCCCACCAATGAACACATCAGTGAATATCCCTTGAGGATCAACAACACCTTGAACTGCAATTGAGTAAGACGTTTTCTGATTCCTTTCTGTGTGATGCTTATTGAAATAAGAAGACGCAGTACTGATATTCTTAGGTGCGTTAATGGGGACATGTGTGGTGTAGATTGAGCCTCCAATGTTTGGTATGCCGCCTGAGATCAGTTCATACTCGTTCTTGATCTCGTTCATCTTCGCTTCATCAGGCCAGTGAAGAAACTTAGGCATGAGAACAGTTTTAATGGCGGAACACACCTCGAGGACAAGCTTGTGACACGTTGATACGCCCAATCCGAACTGTTCAGATACGAGGCGAAGCGAATCGCCGGTGGCTAAACTCCATATACACACAGCAACACGTTGTTTCACTGGAATAGCGTTACGAAGCGTCGTGTTCTTCTTCGTCACCACCGATTCGAGTTCGTAGCAGATCATGTTAAACGTTGCTTTGCTCATCCGAAAACATCGCCGGAATTCTTCTTCCGGGAAGTCAGGGTGGTTACACCGTTCCCACCATCCCCTCGACCGTTGCTTCACCCATAACCGGCGATGATGGTGGTTGTGGTGCTCACCTGAAGAAGAAGAAGATGATCCAGAACTCGCCAACATCGGGGCCGGAATTTCAGAGCCCACGTTTTCAAAAACGAAGGCAGACGCTGAAACAGATTCGGTGGAAGTAGAACGACGAGCTCTTTTGGTTCGAAAATGGTCGAACTCGAGCTCATTCATCTCATCGGAGTAATAATGATCCTGAAGCTGCATGTAGTAGTTAATCAGAGCTTGAGCTTGCTGCTTATTGTTATACTGAAACAAAGCTTTGTCTCGCTCGGATTCCATAGCTCTCGCTGATCTCTCCTCATTCTCATCTTCGTCGTCTAACAGAATCAACGAAGTGAAAACGTCCCTCAACGTGTTACTGTTCTTCAAATCATCGTACCCGTTTACATTTCCTACAACATCATCATTGTTCAAGCCGAACCAGGAATCCATCTCCGGGTTCAAGTTATGGAAGTGTGAATAATCATCCCAAGGAGGCGAGCTAATCTTCATCAAGGACCAGTCTTTGTTTCTGGGTTGGGGTGAGATCAAGCTTCGCAAGAGACAATGGTTTCGATTGCAAGATCAAAAGTGAGTTTAAGTGAAAAGATAAGGAATTGAGGGTGACGAAGAAGAAAGGGATTTTAGGCGATAAATAGAGAGAAGGAAGTGAGTGTGCAGATCTGAACGCGTTGCTGAGGATGGCGTGGTTTGACTACGGTGACTTTGACTCATTTTTTTTGTGACAAAAAATTAAGGATAAATAATTGCAATCAAGGGTCAATTTTGCAACATATTTACAATCAAGAAGCCGAATAACGATGTGCAAGGATCTTATGTTCTTCTTGTTGTGTTAAGAGAGAATTAATTATTCAATTTTTATAATTTTAATTTAATTATAATTCAATTCATGAACGTTAACATATTATAACTTGATCATTATATTTTTAACGTGATTATAATTAAGTTTTTAAACTTTATAGTTTTAAAATATTGTTTTCTATATTCTAGAAAACAAAAGCTAATGTTTTTAAAGTTTAAGGCTAATATTTTTAATTAATAAAACTTTTAAGAATTAAAATTTTAAAATAATTTTAATATTTATAATTTTTTAAAAAATATAGTGACCAATATTTTAAATTATTAAAATATAAAAATTGAGTTGTAGTAAGTTAAAATTTAAAAATAGAGTTACAACTAGTTAAAATTCAAGAATCGAGATCAAGATGTTAGTTGCTAAATAATTAAATTTCTCTTATTTTAATATAGATCAAGATTTTGATTTTTACCTTTAACACACCCTACCTTTATTATATAAGCCAGCCATCGTGGCTCTCGGAATTAACCTTAGTTCTGAGATAGTTTAAAAAAATGAATATATAAATATTAAAATGTAATAATTATATCTTGATTATGTTGGAAGAAAGTTAGGTATAACCTTAAATACAGTACATATACAGTTGTGCTAAGCCTTTAAATAATATTAGAAAGTGTATCATAACCTACAAGAAGAAATTCTTTACCGAAATTGTGATATTTTTTTCTTAGCTTAAAAATTGTTAGATGAGTTAGGTCCACAGAGCTTATTAAGGCTAAAATATCACATGTGTCTCTAACTCGGCTAAAAAAATGTTTATACATTGTTGAACAATGAGATCCTCATATCAATAATAAAATTTGAACTCATTATCTTGTATTCTTTTTGCATTTTAATTTATATTTATCAAACTTTTAAAATAGAAAAAAGTAAATAATATCTCATCTTCATTTAGTGGATACCATTTAAAAGTAAATAGCATCTATCTGCAATTAATTTTATATGGTTCATAAGTTTAGCATAAGTATTCAAAAATTTGGTTACATCAATGATTAAAATAATTTAAGAAATTACAATTTTCTATCAATAATTTTCTTCATCCATCAAAGTTCAACTAATTTTATATGGTTCACATGTTTAATAGAAATATTTGTAAGTTTGATTTTACTAATGACTAAAATAATTAAAAAAATTATAACTTTTTATGAGAAAAATCTAACTAATTTTATATCATTTGCAAGATTAATATAAGTATTAGCAAATTTAGTTTCACCAATGAATAAAATAATTTATAAAATTATAACTCTCTAAATCATAGAAGGGTACTAAAATAATTTTAAATAGAAATTTAATTTCAAAATTCTTTCAAAATATTATTATCATTATCACATTTTATGAGATTATATTATTATTATTTTATTTTAAATAAATTTATCTTAAATAACAAGAATACTAAGCTGAAAGATAAAAACAAGAATACACTTTTAATTTTTGTCTACCAAAAATTGAAAGTAAGTTTATGAATGGCTATGGGCAAGGTTGGCAATTAATTAACGTTCAACAGACGTCACCAGGCATATCATCATCGTCCACATCACCCGTGACGTCACAAATAAATTATTGCATTTTTCAACTATGATATTTTTGGTCATTTAGAATTTCAGATTGGGGAAAATGTTAAGAGAAAAGAAAATGAGATGACAAAAAAATTAAGAGAAAAGTGATTAGATCATGTTAACAATCTTTTTATGATGAAGAGAGTATAAAAAGACCAGAACAGTGGCAAGATAATATTTTTTTTAATATAAGGAGTTCGATTATATTCTTTCTGTTTAAAAATATAAGATATTTTTAATTAAATTTCACTCTCCAATAAAGTAGTTACCTACTTTTAAACTAACTCTATCTTTTTATATTTATCTCTATTAAACACTTTATAATAAATATAGAATTATTTATCAATAATTGTACTTTAAAAAAAAAGAAAATACATTACATTTTTAAACATTCAACTCCTCAAAAAATATTTTATATTTTTAAACGGATGGAGTATCTTTTAAATTTCTCCATATTGTAAAGAAAATTTGAGAAAAAAATATAGCAAATCTCACACTTTACGTTTCCCCCTTATTTTACCATGTTTTCATTCCTCCTATCCATCCCAACCAAAAAAAAAAAAAAAACAGCTATAAACTTGCTTGGTTCTGTTTTTTTATTGTTCTTCAACAAAATAATTTTTTAGAACAAGTTTTAAAAATAAAAAATAAATAAAATTATTTGAATCGAATTATTTTTGAAAAACATATATAAATTTGTAAAATAAATGGTAAAAGAATAATTTATTTCATTAACATCATTATGAAAGCGTAGTATTTTTTGTCTTTGATCTAGTTTTATAAAACAAAAGGTTAAAAAACAACTAAAAAATGCTTTGATTTTTTAATTCTTTAAAAAAATTTAATTTATTTATTTTTTTAAATAGATAACTAAAAAATATTTTTAAATTTTTTGAAATAAAAAAAATATTTTTAAAACAAGTAATCAAACCCGCCCAATCTATCTTCCCTCCTATTTTCCCACCCACTTTTTCATCCGTCCATTAATTTCGTTTGTAGTCATCTACTCTGTACTGTTGCCCCACCCCACTTTCATTATTAATTTGATGTAGAAAGATGGGATGAACGCAAAAACCACATGTTGAATTTTTTTTAAAAAAATATATATAATTTGAAGTCCCAATATTTTGATCAAATTTTAATATAAATTTTTATATTATTTTTCAGAATTTTAGGTCTTATATTTTTTTTCCTCCTTTTTAGATTTTAACTTTTACCCTTGATTTGAGTGGGAATAAAATTAGAGAACAAAGAATAATGGGAAGAAAAACTTACAAAATTATTTTTGTTACTATTTTCAAAGTTTTCTTTGTGATATTTTTTTCCTTCCCAATCTTTTCTCGTTTTTTTTTCCCCTCTATCCAAACCAAGAACCTTGATGAAAGTGGATGCCAAAAGCCATTAACTAGGACAAAAGCCACGAAGACTTGCACTCATACAATTATCATTTAAAAGCCTCAAAATATATTAGGAGAGTAAAGAATATGCAAACCCGAGCAAGTTAGATATATAGAAAATATACCAACAAACACATAATTCAATTTATAAATAATTATGTTAACTTAACCAATGATTTTAAATTCGAGCTTTGAGTATACAACTGTATTAAACACTCATTGAGAAAGTTTTCCGCCGATGCAGTCTTACTCATTTTGACCCGTGAAAAATGGGTAATTATATTAAAAAAGAGAGGTATAAAATATTTAAAAAAATAAAAATAGCCCATAGCAGCTTGTGTTATACTACAATTTCCATTTTAATAGGTTAGAAATTATTTTTCAACATACCATAAATTGGAATTCAATTTACAAAGTTTCAATAATTTTTTTTCCCAACAAAATATACTGAAGTAAATTTGACTGAAATCAAGTTAGTATAAATTTCAGTATGATTATTAAAATAAAAAAAATAAAAAGTCACATCAATAGCGCCACCCCTTTTATTTCTTCCCCTCCCCGCCCGGCACGCCTTACACTCTCACACACGCAAATATAAATATTAGATATTTAGATAATAATCTTTTCAACTTATATCATTTTATAAATTTTAAATGAAAAATTTATAAATATAACTATGAAAATACCCTCAAAATATTATACCCCTCATTGGTCAGAAAATATGGGTTATGTTTCAGAACTTCTTTTTTTTTTTTCCAAAATGTAAGTCATTTTATAAATTTTTAGAAGTAATTAATGAATTACTTTTTAAAAAAACATGGATAAAGATACACTATTATCATTTATGAGGATTAAATAAGAGTAATATAGCCGATTTACAAAATTAAAATTAATTTTCAACGAGGAGGAATGACACCACATCAAATGCTCACATGCAATCGGTTCTCGCTATTGGCTAGGGTGACCCCACGCGAAAATGGAAGGTTGTACACGACAAAAGGTACTTGGTTTAGCTAACTAAAATATTTGAATTAACTTATTTAAGAATCTTTGGTTTAAATCATGGAATATACAATCATGTTTAATAAAAAACTAAAAGCATTCTTAAGATACTAATAAAGTCATAATTGATAAGCCTTATCCCAGATAAGGATGGTCTAGACTAATTTAAAAGGATAGTTGTAATACTTTCATATTTTTTAAAAGGGCAAGACTTATATGCTTAACATTACATATTTAATATATTTATATCAAATTAAATATTTTTATATTAATTTAATCTATAATAAAAATTTATTATAAAAAATTAATTTATAAAAAATTTATATATTTTGACTTAATTAAATATAAATATCTTAAATATATGAGGTAAAGTATATAAATTTTCTCATCTCCCAAATAACGAAAGATGGAATTAAAAGTTGTGCATTTGCGTGAGGAAGGAGATAGTCTCAATAGTCACATTAAAAAGAAAGCAACTACTATAATTAATGAGAACCAACAATTACAACGGGCCAAATTTAAAATAATTAAATATATAAAATTATTTATATAATCAAGTTCAACTCTAATATCTTGAGTTTTAAAACTTATTTAGATGGATTAAATTACTCAAATTGTTGTAGTTTATTTTAACTTTTTTTGAGCTAATTTGTTTTTAATTTTAAAAAATTAAGACTTTTCATACAACCTGACATTATAGCACACCTTTTTTAATGCTACTAATGCCGGAGTAAGTATTAAAAGAATAAATTGTATAAAAATAAAGTATTGAATGAATAAAAATAAAAGTATATAAAATAATTGCTTGTATTTATTTTTTCTTAAAATTTTCAAAAAAAAATTCAAAACAAATCATTATTGAAACATAAAACTATATTTAGAAGTGTGAAGTGTAAAAATTAAAAGTTAGAAGAGGGCTTGTGAATTGCAAGTGTTTACTTTATTTTGT